CTTAACCAACTGGGCCAAGGGACCTTTCTCTTTTCTTTTTAAATGTTCCTGATTTTCCCGGACTGTTCTATCTATCACGTGACCTTCATAATAAAATTTATTTTTGATTAGTATGCTTTGAAATGAAGTTAATATAAAAAAACTATTATACTAACGGGAACTTGATTTTTCTAGTATTAGCTAAAATCATTTATCATGAATTTTGGGACGTTTCAAATTTTAAAATTTTGATTTCAGGAATTTTGGCAACCTTATATATTCAAATTTTAAATTCATTTGCTGTTTAAAAAATAAAGTCAAAATTTTTAATTACATATATGAAGTTCTAGACTTACTTAGATTGCTTTTTTCATAAGCAGGAATTGACAGAAGCTGTATGAGTTCTTCTTTTGATTTCCTAGTTATAAAGTTTAAGGTTTGATTGAAACACACATATATATTAATTAATATTCGACCGGGCAACATACCGCTAATAATATTAAATATTAATAATGTTATATACATTAACATGTATAATTATTCATCACGTATAATTGGTGTCTGCTTTAAAATAACACAGAGTTTTATAAACCGATCAAAAATTAACCCAACATACTTGTTCTAGAGTGATAACCTGTCCATTAACCAGCTTTATTCCGAGCTGAGAAGCCAGAATATGGAAAGAACGACATGCAACATAAATATAAGAATATAGACTTGTTACCTGTATAAATGACTCAAAGCTTTAATGTTAGTACATATATAAAGGTTAGCTTTAATGTTAATACATATATAAAGGTTTATTATAAAGGACTCGTAATATGTATTTGAAAATTGACAGAAAAACCGCTATCAATATTATTACGAGCTGAATATAATAATATTTAACATCGACACAACTAATTTAATTTCACAAGAAGCACTCTAGATGGAGTCGAGATATATAATTATTTAGTACGTCATACACTAGTGGATTAATACTACAATTTAAAGCAATATAGGAGATTTATATACTACATACATTTCTATCAGCATTATCGTTTTGTTCTATAAATGCTTACGCTTATTATATATGATCATATTAACAATTGGTGTAACCTAGCACAATAGTATAATTTATTAAATCATTGGCACCCGTCACGGCTTAACCTCAGTAACATTCGTATATATGTTTAATGAACTACTAGTTAAAGCTTACTAATTCCAGCTATATTCACTTATGAATGGTTTTGGCCCCTAAGGATTACAATATATGCTTGTTAATATTCAGGACTATGGTCGGGTGTTTAAACTAAAAAATTGTGACTCTCTTATCTGATGTTCAACTATAATATGAGTTGGAGCCTGAAACACGAATAACGATCATCACCGGGATAATATACGATGACTTAGCTGAAGTAAAAGCCGAAATCTAGCTTGTTTTAGAAGTTGAGAATAATTCCCTAACTCAAGTAAAATTAGGCAATAAAACACCATCGATACCCGAAAATATAGATGATCTATTAATGAAAGTTCGGTTACAATAATCGGGTTCCACGATGCGCTCGACAGTCTTCCAGAATCCTAACTTAGCCGTTATCGAAGATTCAATTAGTAATTACAATGTATTGGCGTTAGTTTCAACCCTCGGCAACTAATTATTTATCTCTTAAGCTTATACGCATTACTACTTTAATCTTTTATGGGGTAGGCTTTCAATCTTCAAACCTTCAGCAGCGCAAGCTGTCACTAAAATCTATAATATGCAGCGAGTGATCAGTGGTCAGTAGTCACCGATTATTGGATGCAGGAAGCAAGCATACAATGTACAGCCAGCTGCCAGATGCGAGACCAGTAAATTGCGCCTGATTTGAAAACCAGATAAGGATTTGACACCTTTTGAATAAACGAGTTAAATGATGAAAACAATACAATATCATGAATTCATCAACAGAACAATAAAAGAGTACAAGCGTTTTCCTATGTTGGTATAGTAATACCCCATCAGTTTATTTACTGAAAAATTAAACTTTAGTTGAAGATGTCAGATTACGTCAATTGTAGAAGATTTCTTGCAAAGCGCAAAATTAAAAAATGGGGCAAGTGACACAGCAAAAATTGTCAGTGATTGGGCAAAAATCATGATCACAAATGAAATTAACTTTGTATAAATACTTTTAAGGCTGCTGAATTGCAACTTGGTGAACACTTGTCAGCGGTTGTTATTTATAATACGAGTTAGCTTCATCATGACTATTGACAACACAACGTCGTTTGTTCAGTAAGTATACGACGACATAATCCCTGTCATCCCTTAATTTTGTGACACTTTCAAGGATCATGGGGGGTTCATCAACACCCTGGAAGTTTGGGATCTGGCGCTCAAGACATTGTTAAAAGCAAGATGGATATCGAATGACTTGGAGAATTAAAGAGAACGAACTGAATACTAACATCATATCACAGAGAGACAACAAGACATACAAACTTTCGCAGAAGGGCAAGCTGTTTACTGTCACAGCCATCTTATCACAGCGCTAAGATAAGCGTGAAGTATGTATAACATATATTTTAAGATTAAAAGATAATAGTGTTCTGTGTTGATACTAACAAGATAATAAAAGTCACTGGCAGCTAAGAGACTTAGTACAGCCGTTGTCCACAGACAAAAATGAAATACTTTACACTTATAATGATACCATCAGATCTACAAATAGAAAATCAGATAAGGTAACAACCGTTACAGAATTAGATTACCAACCAAGATGCTTTAAAGAGATTGATGACTTAATAGTTAGTGGTGGTGTTATAAGCTCAGTCAATAATAACAATAGTATGACAAATTTAACACGATCGATGAACACTTTTGGTGATGGAGATTCAGGCGTAGGCGCCACTTGGAGAGGGTTGTTTTCAGTTTATAATAGAGCTACACAAGAAAAGAAGACTATCAGGTTGGGATCGTACATCAATAATAATGCATTAATTAAGAAGACATCCAATGGTCAATACGCTTCATACGTCTGTAACAATGACATGAATTTATACAACACTGATATCAACAGCTCTTCGGTCACTGTTAATAGTTATATTAATCTGGGATTCCCTTTGAATCATGCTGCATTATCAGATGACGGTAAAAATTTAGTTGTTGTTGGTGATTCTTCAAATATTATTTTACTACATCCAAATGAACATGGGTCAAGTACATTAAGGGATGATAATATTATTAATACTTCAAATGATTTCAACTCATCCAATACCTATGATTCAGGGTTCTCCACTTCCTTTGATTCATCAGGATTACATTTTGCTACCTGTTTTCAAGATGGTGTTTGTTTCATCTATGATATTAGAAACGTTGGCGATGGTCCGATTAAGAAGATTTATTCAACAAGGAGACACTCTTCAAATGGTGCCTTCAGATGTGTGAAATACTCAGGAGGGACCGATGACTTATTATTAATTAGTGAGCATGTTGGTAGAGTTCATGTTCTCGATACAAGAGACTTTAATAACCACCAAGTGATAATGTTACCAGTTAATAATAACCCACGCTCGCGTCAATCAAGTGTTGTTTCCTTATCCAACGCTATGAGCGGTACATTCAATAATAGCCGTGCACCATCCGCTGCTAATATTAATCCAAAGGTTTATACCCCAAAAATTTTGGAATATAATGATATTTTGAATTACGAAGGTAATTTGTCTTCGCTAAACACACTTGAGAACACATTTCATGCAAATTACAACACCAATTATAATACGAGAAATTTCAATAATTATAATTTACTGTCAGCTGTTGAAGATGATCATACGAATTCAGATGAAGCAATTGCTGATGACATCGAAGATGATTGTGACGGCTCTACTGAGATTGAAGATCCAATGGATGAAGAAGTTGCAACTATATCCACAAGTCACAGATCAAGCATGGGATCAACAACAACTGCTGCTACAATGGCCACAGATTTTGATTATGCTGATAATGAAATCAGTGGTATTGACTGGTACGAAGATAACCAGGGATCACATTTAGTTATTGGGTGCGATAATGGATTAATTAACTGGGATATCGATTCTTGGGGTAGAAGGTCGTTTCCATCAGTCAAACTACTATAGCAAATACTTACTTTAAGGTCAATTCGATTTCACAATTCATTTGATTTCCTTAATGAGATATTATACGATAGGAAAAGTTGATCTTTTCAATATTCTTTATGTTTTGCACCATTTTCAAAATCATATAAAGGCTTTCATTAGTTTCTGCACATAATACCAATTCAGCTAATTGAAAAAAAAAAAACTTATTATATACGTCATTATTATTTTCACACAGCTTAAGAAAATACTCTCAAGTTTTTGATGGTATCGTTAGCTTTTTTATTCATATTGTTCATTTCTTATAAATAGTTGGAGTCATATTTTTTTTAAATGTTAATACGTTCATTTCTTTGTTTTATTTATTGTTCATTTTATGGTACATATTAGGAGTTTCAAATTGTTTTTAGCACTACATTATTTATGAAGATAGTTTCTCTACATCTTGTAAACATAATTTGCAAATTGTAAACTTTGTAAGCTAAAAATCAATCCACTATATCTGCTGTATTTTCAAAGTCTTGATCTTCAATACCTAATTCTTCGATTTTTGGATCATCACTTGATGTGTTATCAAATTTTTGAGATTGAGGTTGAGATTGAGACTGAGATTGAGACTGTTCATATTCATGTTTAATTTCCCTCCAGTCATTTTCATTTTCAATAACAGCTTGAACACCAATAACTTCACATTGCTCAAAAATTTCTAAAATACCTTCAGCTTGCTTAATTGGCATACCACGGAAAACTTTATTAACTTCATCTAAACTTTCTGTTTTCAAAGCATTTTGCATATCTTCAGGTAATTCTTGAAAGATTTCAAATCTTTTCAATTCATTTGGATCTTTTGAATTTGAATCAGGTAAGTTAACAATCAATTCACTGTTTTCATCAAGACTCTTCAATTGAATTTCTTGATCTTCTTCATTAATATCTTCATATTGTTCTTGAGTTAAAATTTCACAACGTTGTTTAATATGAGCATAAGTTCTTTGAACTTCTGCTTTAAAAGCTTCAAAAGCCTGATTATGGGAATTTATAAACATCTTACTCAATAATTGTTCAACAATCAAAGATATTTCTTGCGGGTGTCTTGTACGTTTAAATTCCACAATATCATGAACATATTGTAATATAGTTGAGAGGAAAATTATTTGATAAGTTCTTTTGTTGTCATGAGCAAACTGAGCATCAAATGCTTTCATTAATAATGAGTCTTTTTGATTTGGTGTTATTATATGGGTATGAGATTTCAAAAAACTTTTAATTTGATCAATTTTTTCAATTGGAATTTTTGAATAAGAAAAGGTATCTGGATGCAAATCATCAATTGTTTCTTCTTCTTCAGCATTTGAAACATTAGAAGCCTGTGCAACTTCTTGGTTATTGGATGGTGATAGTTTTGGCTCAGGATTTTGCTTTTCAACTGGATTCGATTTTGGAGCTTCTTCGGATTTTGATTTTTCATCACTATCAATAGCCGCTGAAGGTTTTGAATAAGCAGAAGCCGCTGAAGAAACAGAAGAAGTGGATGGTCTGACATCTTCAGTTTTGGATTGGTCCTTGGAGGCGTTTTTGTCGTCACCTTTATTCAAAAATGAACGATCCCAGCCAGTATGGATATCATCTGAGGAAATATGTAGTTCACGCTCTTTATAAAGTTCTTTCAATTTCAAATGATTTCTTTCTAAAACATCATCAATTTTCTTTCTATGAGCTAGAACAAGAGTTTTCACGCTCTCACCATTTGATGGATCTTGAGCAGCGTTTTCTAAATCAGCTTTCAATTGAGTAAATAAATCTTCAATCATCTCATTATGGGTTGGACCATCTTCTTCGATACCATCTGGTTTAGAATTTGGATCAAAATTAGATTGTAAATAAGTTTTAACTTGATCAAAATCGGCCAAATCTGATACAGATGATAAAAGTTTATCAACCCTTTTGTTTAATTCGTCATACATTGCATTTTGAACTTCCAATGTTTTAATATCATGATTTCTTTGATCTCTCTTTTGATGAATATCTTGTTGCTTCCAGCGAATAAATGATTTCTTATCAACGTTTGGATGAACTTCAACATCAGAGTCATCAGAGAGCTCGATTTTGTCCCACTTTGAGTAGTCAATTGCCATTTTCACACTTGGTTTTGTACGTTTCTGATCAACTGATCACTTATTTAAAAGATGGATGATGATACTTGAAGTTTTGAACATTTGAAGAAACGCGCAGAATGTTCTAAAATAAAATCAGTTCGCGGGTAAAGCGTGTGCTCGCTGCTTTTCATAAGAACGAAACAACACAAAATAATTACAAAAGGAGAACAGCGACATGTTTATATCAAAATTTAGCTCCTAGTTATATAGTTGGTCCGTCCAATCTTGTAAAATAGATTCTCCATTCAAATAGCGATCTCTTAAAAGCTCATCCGACTTTTTAGATCCAGCCGTAGTGGATGGTGACATTAAAGAAGTTGAACAATACAGACTTGCACCAGCCCATGGGCCTAAAGCTTCTAAAGCCTCGATTTTTGATTCTGATTCTATTTGAAGTTCATTCAATATCCTAGTTTTCATACCGGGTATTTTGGTCAATCCACCTGTGAAAATTATATTTGTAAACAAAGTGGACCTCAAGTCTATTGGTAATTGTTTCTTCAAACCTTTAATCAAGGGCACCAAGAAATTATTTTCATCATCAACATTTGGTTTTAAACCATTTTCAAAGAAAAATTGATCTATTAGATTATATCTTAGTTTATTGGGTATAGAAATTCCATTGTAAGTGAATGTACTATATTTTTCTTCTTCTTCTAGTATTGTATGTGGATTACAATAAAATGTATCACAAATTAAATCTTCAACAAAATCAAAAGACAAACTATCAATCCCATTCTCTTTCAAGTTCGTCCTTACGAAAGCATGAAAATTCTTCCCAGCTCTATTAGTCACTCTCGATTCTTTATAAAGGATCCTCAAATCAAATACCGCCGTTATTGTAGATTGGCACCATCCCATATCTATAACTAAAGCATTATTGCTTCCCGAGCTTATAGAGCTAAGTACTGGCTCCGGGAAAAACCTAACAGATTGTGCATGAATATGGAATAGTAGCACTTTTGTCAACATCTTTTTCAATGGTATTGGGAAAAATGGTGGTTCAAGAATCAAAACTTTACATTTTTTGGCATCAACCAACAAATTATTTTGATAAATATCATAAATGATTCTTTCTAATAATCTTTCCAATTGAGGAAAGTCATAACCAACCAAGTCATTATCCCAAAGAACGTTACCCCTAAAATCTATATCATTTACCTCTACTTCTAACCTTTGATCACTTGCATGATTCAACCCATCATTCTGATCTACTTGTGCATCTTTCAAATCATACGCGTTTGTCACTGAGCGAATTGTGGGTACTGCATCTCCAGCAAAACCAGCGTGTATAGTTCTAGCACCTAATTGAAGTACCACAGGATAGTATTGATGTGACATAGACTAGACCTCTCAATTTTTGATATTGTGGGGATAGAGGAAATTCGAAACCAGCTATAAACTAGATCTTTATGATTGTTTTTGAAGACTTTCTGAGCGCGGGTTCCTTTACATCACCAATTTTTTTTGTGTCAGATCGTAAAGCTCCTGGTTAATAGAATGGAGTATACCACACAACCTAGAAGACTGAAGAGTAATGTTAATATGCCTCAAAGATCAATGCCGATGATCTTTTCCTTCACTATTTACTAGTCATCCGACAGGTTTCTGAGCCAATTTACAATTACACCGTGCTTACTCCATGCTGATATAAGCAGATTGAGGCTTTTTGATAATAATTTGTAAAGGCAACCAAGATTAAATCACCTTCTTAACTTTATAAACTTCACAAAAACTTTTGAAATCAAAACAAAAGCTACAAACTATACATCAATAGAAAACTAAACCATGGGTGCAATAGTATCACTACCTTTCCAAATAGTCGGAACCTGGATTGCCAGTTGTTGTGGCTCCATGTTCTTCTCCTTAATATCCAAATCGTTCTCAAGTATTGGATCAAGTTTCTCAACTCGTTTAAGTTATGCATTTTTATTCCTCATTAATACAATACTATCATGGGTTATGCTTACGGATTTTGCTAAAGGTAAACTAGAGAAAATATCAAGATTTCAGTGTATAGCTGAAGATTGTGGTCTAGTTGCTGTTCACAGAATAAATTTTGCCCTTGGGTTATTACACATAATATTAGCTACAATGTTGGTTGGGGTTAATTCAACTGCAAACCCACGATCAAAGATTCAAAATAATTTTTGGGCTCCAAAGATTTTGTTATGGATTATTTTCGTTATAGTATCATTCTTAATACCTGATAAGTTCTTTATTGGCTGGTCAACTTATGTCTCTGTGTTCTGTGGTGCTTTATTCCTTTTCGTGGGGCTAATTCTTCTAGTTGATTTTGCTCATGAATGGGCTGAAACTTGTATTGAACATGTTGAAAATGAAGATGAATATTCAGGAGTATGGAAAACAATTTTAGTGTCGGGTACATCAATCATGTACTTAGGTACTTTAGTCATGATTGTATTGATGTTTGTTTTCTTTTGTAATGATGGATGCTCAATGAATAAGACTTCTGCTGCAATAAATTTAGTATTGACAGTTTTGATTACATTTTTGTCTTTGAATAGAACCATCCAGGAATACAATCCAAATTGTGGTCTTGCACAAGCTGCAATTGTTTCGGTATATTGTACTTATTTGACATTGAGTGCTTTTGCTTCAGAGCCAGATGATAAATTATGCAATCCATTAATTAGATCAAAAGGTACTAGAACAGCTAGTGTTGTTTTGGGTGCTATTTTCACATTTGTTGCAATTGCTTACACAACGACTAGAGCTGCTGCTAATTCTGCATTTAATGGTGGAAATGGAGGTGGTGCTATTGCTATTAATTATGATGATCCAGTTGATACAGAACCAATCGTCACAAGTCAACCATCTGCTAGAAATGAAATGAGATTACAAGCTATCAGAGAAGCAGTAGCAGTCGGTACATTACCTGAAAGCGCATTACATGATCAAAGTTGGTTATACGATGATGCTGATGAAGAAGATGAAGAAAGAGTTACAACAAAATATAATTATGCTTTATTCCATGTTATTTTCTTTTTGGCTACACAATGGGTTGCTGTTTTGTTAACAATGAATGTTAATCAATCTGATTTCGGTGATTTCGTTCCAGTTGGAAGAACATATTTCTATTCATGGGTCAAAATTGTTAGTGCTTGGATTTGTTATATGATTTATGGCTGGTCACTGATTGCTCCAGTATTAATGCCAGAAAGATTTGGATTTTAAATCTACGAAAAGGAAAGTATTTCGTGTGTTGAATTTTATTGTTGAAGGTAATAATAGTTAGGAATATGCAATTCAGTAAAGCTATTATAGTTTTTGTCACCATTAAAGCTACTATTTCTAGAGCTTTTTAATAGATTAATTTGGAAGCTTTACTATCAAGCTTCTGAATCTGTGATACCACCTTCATTGATGATATAAACACACTCTTTTTCAGGCATATCAGGAGAATCAAGTAATTTTGCAACTCTTTCATCACCACGTCCTTTACTGTTTTAAATAATGTTAGTTTTCAATAATATATACGAATGCTTAAATATCTAAAATGACATACCGAAGCAAGATTCTTGTAGCACTTGCATGAGCTAGGACATGTCCACCAACACTGAGAATTGTTAGTAACAGTTTCAAAAGTTCACTATATGTGACTTAAGATACTCACGGTTTTCTACCATCAGCCGCAGCAAATAAAGCAGAAGCACCTGGATCTGATTGAACTTGATTTGTCATAAAGACCGCAATATTGAAATCTTCAGCTATTCTATTCAAACGGGCTAAATGTTGATTCAACCTTCAAGTTTCTGGTTAATAACACTTTTAGTAAATCCACTGTATTAGATTCAAGTACTTACTTTTGTTGACGTTCATTCAATTCACCTCTTCCTGAATACTGTATTGTTATGTTAGTGAATCTGGAGATTTTGATACAGGAACGAAAGTTCAAGCAATTGTGTTTCAAAACTCACATCAACCCTAAAATTTGCCATAATTGAATCAATAACCTTCGAGAAGTTAGTAGTTAGTATTCATTCCATTGGGGTTCACTATTGATATTCAAGGTCTATTCATACCAATAATTTATAATCACCGGTTGCTAATTCAGTTCCAAGCTCTTCAAGAAGTTCACATTGGTGTTCGCTGTTTAAGGCTCTTGCATAAGTGATGTTTTCAAGGCAAGTATCTGGATCAACACCAAATCTTTCAGCAATAGACTTAATTCTAGTGGCCGTCATTAGTAAATTTGTTTGATTAGAGCCTCCAATTTTACATACCTATCTGGACGAAATGTACCTTCGGTATCAATATAAGCTGCTTTTCCTTCACCTCCACCAAGTGACTATTTTTTTTCTCCGTTAGTTGCAAAGATTCTAGTAAATCTAACAAACACCTTAAAAATAAGGTTTAAACATACTTTTGGAAGCTGGGATGTCACACATAGAGTATGTGCCATTTGTGTTTTACCACATCTAAATTCACCAAATACTTCGGTTATACTCATAGTCATTATACCACCACCTAAAGTACTGTCTAATGCTTTGGATCCAGTGGAAAGACTTGCGACACGGCGTCTTACATCAGCTTGAACAGTACCAGAGACAAACCCAACTTGCTAATAACAATTCACACGTCAGAATAAAGCTTAAATAATGGGGCATGCAAATTCATCACAAGTCATACTCATATTGAGTAATAGTCATAAGCTTGATTAGAAGTCACAATTCATAAGTAATTCAACTCACCACTAATTTTCCTGCTGCTTCTTTGATTTTCTCGACTTTAATTTCACTCAAACCTCTAATCTTTAACAAATTTCTTCTTGTGGTTGAAAGAACAGACTTTTGGGGAGGAATCAGTTAGTTTCTATACCAGATCTAGTTATATTCAAATTCAAAACACTCACAGTGATACTACAGATACCAGCCGCCCTAAGTTTTTGGATATCACTGGCGTTGATACCTTGTGCTTGAAGTTCGTCGATGCTGACGATGGATGAATTGGTTTCAGCTTGTGTCATTTTGGAATCAAATAGTTAATGGATTGTTCAAATCAGAGAATTGTTCTTTGTTGAAGGTTGTAAAAGTCAAGAGGAAGAAATCTTATTCAAGGAAAATGCAAGGATTTCTAGGTTCTTTTATAGTTTCCACAACAAAAAGATTAGCCGCCGAAACAAACAACCAAAACATCAACAACAACAGAGAGATCCCTCAAGAAACCTACACTTTAAAGCAAAATTCATGGATGTGATGCTGATCTAAACGTGGATTTAATATAACAATAGACTAGAAACATGATATATGATGGGGCTAGCTGAAGATGTCAAAATTATAACTTTCTGTCTAATTCTTTTTTAAGTTCATTAACAAGCTATTGAGATCTTTGTCATTAAGAATTTGAAATGTTATTATGCGAAATTATCTTCGGTTCTTTGGAATATTAGGACAGTTTTTGCTCTTAATATAAGCTGTTAGTATATTCATTTTAGGTTTTCAAGTGTCATTGTCTTCGAACTTACCTCGTGTCCCTTCTCACCACATTCATAACAATTCTTTTGTTGTTTACCGCTGTTGGTGTGTTGTTTTGCTCCAAAGTTCCTTAGTTGTATCAAATTAGTGAATTGCTCAGACTGATAATGAGGTGGTTGCTGCTGCTGGAATTTGCCGTTATGTGGAACATAATTTCTATAATGAGATGCATATTGGGGATCATAAGGATAATAACCTGGTGAATGTGCTTCATATGTATAATAATATGGATCTTGTCCAGGGTATTGATGATTGAAATAACTTTTTGGCTCGGCCATATCTGGAGGTGATACTTGATGAGGTGAATAAAAAGTTGTATATGGTGGCTGATACATCCATGGTTGGTACATTAAACCCTCTGTGTAGTATGATTGTTGATACGGTGAAGCCCCAAAATAATTTTGGTATGATTGAGGACTGTGACTAGGAGTGATATATCGATCATTATTTTTCTTTATTCTATTGGGATGATCCTTTTTAATTTCTTGATATTTTGGACATTCAGATTGAATGTGACCAACATCCCTGCAGAAATAACATTGTTTGGATTCTGAGTTTCTATCATTTGGACATTTAGAAGATTCATGACCAGGAGTTTTACAATTATAACATAATCGTTCACATGATGAGCATTCATTGGCAAAATGACCCAAACTTCCACACTTATAACATGTTCTTTTGAAAACCAATGACACTGGAAGCTTTGTGGTTTGAAATGGTATCAGGCTGGATGGCTTTATTGAGCTTTCATCTTTTTTATTCACATTTTCTGAGGTTGGATTTATCACTAACTCTTCTTGAAGAGACTTTTCAACAGAAGCTTCGACCTTCGGTTCTTTCAAGCATTCTTGTTCCATTATTGTTGCCATTTATTATTTAGATAATAATTTTTATCTTCAACTCTTTATGAAAGTTATTGGTTTAGAGTATACCTTTTTATTGGAGTGCCTAACTTTTGAAATCAAAGAACTCTAATCGTCAATTATTGAACAGTCCAAAGTTATCTCAGGCTTAAAAGGTATTTAGATGGATGGGTGATATTTTATAATGCTGGATTAAAAATATGGTGATTCAATATGGAGGAAGCACTTGCTTCTTATGCAATTTGTCTGTTCTGTATTTCTGCTAGGTGTTCTTTACGTTGTCTGTGCTTCAAATCTTCAAACAATTCAAAAGATTGGTTTTTAATTAAGTGATTTTGTTCGACAACTTTTGGAGTTGTCCGCAGATTGTAAATTTTAACCTGCAATCAGAAAACCACTGATGTTTAACTCTGTGGAAGTTCTAAGACAAGAATTTGTTTGATCTCGGCTCACAAGTCACGGATCATACATCTCATTAGCATGTTTAGGCTAACAGTCTTGAAAGTGATACTTGGTGTTTGAAGCTATTAAGATTTTGATACTTGTATCGTTTTCATTCGGTTTTTTTCAAACCTTATATTTACAATTTTCACCAATTCATATTTTACTTCCAGTTCCTGAAGATACATCAGTTCTTTTTTTAACATTGATCAATAGGCACACTATTTTTATCCATGACTGAGTGACTCCCATTAAGATGCATCTTGCTGGTAATGTGTCAGAATATAATTGATTACTTTATTGTGTCTTACGACAGCTTTACCAAACGCACAGCTATTGAATATCCAACTGGTATAATTTAGTATTTGTTTGTTGAAAGCCAAATCGGTTTGCTTTTGCTTAAGTTAATTTATATGGTTCGTATTTGTACCTGGTCAATACTAAGATTGATTCTGAAAACTTGGTTTATTGTCAACGATGTGCACTAAATAATCCGGAAAAAAGTTGATTACACATTGTGCGCTTGGTTGCACTGACATTATAGAAATTTACACCAGGCTAATTCAACAAAGTCTTTAAATGAGTTATATATTTTACCAATCGTTGCTTCATCAAATGAATTTAAAAGAAGCATTTTATTGATTCTTCTACAGCAGTTGTGCACGGAATGTTTTTGAATCTGTTTAAAAACAACTTCAAATGGTCTCACCAGAATCTGCGTCTATGCTTTGGTCTGCATACAAGATGTTCTTCCCTGTTTTTTGCATGTTCAATAGTAAGGTTTTGACAAATATATGACATTGAAGTTTATTCAAGTAACAACACTTCATAGTTATATTCTTGAACGTTAAATCAACCGTTTGAATGTGAAAATTTTCAATTAAGATCTAGTCTCTCGGAATTGTTTATAAAGTTTAAAATTAAATATAAGTCCTGCTTTCCATGCAAAATTGTGTATATTCGTGGAACCCACATCAAATCCACAGCGCTTTTAAGCTTTCAGACTTTTTAAAAGCAGGGATGTCTCATTCTTTTCTCGTTAGTGAGTTCATTTGTTTAGAAAGACACTCTAGAGTCTATCATTATATTTAATTCAGGTAACTCAATTGTCAAACTTTCCAGATACGTTATTATATATGATCTTGTAATTTAGCGGCGTCAAGATAGCAAGTACCTGTTATTGAGATTTGATAGCTAATTTTGTGCGACAATCAAATACTTGGTATAGAGACTATAGACTTTCAAACTTTAACTTCAATTGCTACCTGTATTATACACTATAAGGTGCTTATGGAATATATAGCGAGGGGTTAGAACTTAGGTTAGAACTTAGAAAAGTTCAGAACATTGGAACAATTATCAAGCGAGCTGTACCTCTTAAATTATGGTCTAGAGTTTGACATGGGACATATGCTGGAATTTTGGTCCCTGTTGTTTGACTGACCCCTGGGAAAAAATGGTTTTGATAAAATGTAGAGTTTTATCTCATATGATCGATCTATATGTGGTGCTTGAACCGGGATTCTCTGCATTTGGTTAGTCTAAAGTGTAACGTGTAAGTTGTAAGTTGTAACGTAACGCCATTAAATTCTAGCAGTCCTTCAAGTTTCGATCATACCGTTGATGCTTTATATATGCAGGGAATAAACAATAGCGACAATAAATACATCCCGTCATTTGATAAGTACAGATCGATTGGTGATATCAAAATACTTCACATATATTATATATTAATAGATAGCCAAGCTATCACCTCAATGATGACAGCTGTTAGATCTTAGATTGTCTAAAAACAATATTTGTACTACTAGTTGCGATATTAACGTCATGAACGAATACGTTAGGCAATTGATTGGTCTGTTCAGTACACCTGAGACGTAATATAATCTACTATAAAGAGCTTAAATTTGGTATGATTGATCATTTCTATTAATTATCAGCTGATGGCGTTGTGTGTTGTGTGTTGTCTATCTAACCTGACTCCAGGGCATCTCTTATATTCACATTGAAACGCGTTTATACACGTGTAAAATTATATATATTCATGATGATTCAAGCTTATACTATATTATAAAGTCATAATATATAGTAACCATGGAACAACTTATCTGAGAATACACCATATAAGCTGGCGTAAAGACGGAATTCTCCGTGATCAGCTGATTTAGTTTATACCGATTTAATATCATCCATATAAACATGACTCATGAGTCTACAATTTACATCATACTTTATACAGTCATTATTATTTATATTCTCCGTTTATTGAATCAAAATTCCAAAAATCTTGAAAGTTGACGCGTATCGTTATTTATTAAACATTGTGTCACTAAAGTTTTTTCTCTCTTAATCAATCTTAACAGCAGAGTAAATTTTTCTGATAAAGAATAAACTTGCAAGGAACCCAATTGAACCTGTTAAAATAAATGCAAGAACACTTATCAACAAGGAATAACCAACATATAAAACGATAGTAGTGAACCCTGCCAATGAGAATTTAGATAAAAAGATTGCATGGATGAAAACATAAATCGCACAACCACCCGCGATGAAAACAGATCTCCATTGCCATCTATAATTTTCTGCACATAATGTATAATATGTCATAAGAACAGTAACCAAAGATGTAGTAATGGCCATTAGAATAAAACAGAAAAATAAGAAACCAAACATATAAAACACTCTATTAAACCATAATGATGAATAGATGAAGTACATTTCGACAGAAATTGAACCAAATGGAAAAATACCGGCAACTAAGGCAACAATGATTGTCTTTAAATATAAAGGTTGAGTTGGAATTTGTCTTGGAATTTGGTTTGTACGAACTGGTTGTGATAATTGTTCTTTCTTTAGTGCTAAGATTGAACCAACTGCAGATAATGGAACAGAAATCACAAACCAAATGACAACAATAGCAAGTAAAGTACCAGCTGGAACAGCACCAGATGATTTGACTGCAATTAAGAAGAAATTTAAAAATGCAAATGTAGCTAAGATACCACCTGGAACTAATAAAGGTGTTAAGATCAAATTTAATTTCCATTTTTCACCGCCAAAGAATTTGTAAATGGAACCAGAGATGAAAGAGCCAACAGATCCAAATAATGCATATAAAATGAACATAACGGTAGCTAATGAACCTCTATTAGATGGTGATAACAAACCTAACAGGGCAAATCCAATGGTGGTAAATGCCATTAGGAACAATTGAATACCACTACCAACCAAAATTGATAATAACAATAGGTTCTTTGGGGATCTAAAAACATCACCATGAACTAACTTCCAACCTGATTCATCTTGAAATTCATCATCTAAGTTTACTTCATTGTAACGAGATATATCACTCTTCAAAGCTCTAACTAAAATGTGAGCCATAACCATTGATAAACAAACGACAATTAATGAGAAATTGATTAAGGCAAACCATTGAATTTTTGGATCGTAAACATGTAAATATTTATCCCATCTTGTGGCCCATAAAGTATCTGATGGAATCCAAGAAACATCATATGTAAAGACAACATTGGTATCTTCTGTTGGTGAAATAAAGACTGGTTGGTATTCTTGGGCAGAACACTCGGCTTCAGTTCTTGACCAAGAATGTGGTTCAACTGTAACACCGACAATTCTCAATTGATCATCTTCACGCTTATGGTACTCAATTTGAATATCAAAATGGTTATCAAGATGTGCTTTACCTTCTTTGTCAAGAAAACCTAGTTCAAAACCAGCACCATAGAAATCTGATTTGGTTCTTTCATCATGTAATCTTCTAGCAGCTGGTAAACCGTCAATTAACCAATTGTAGAAAAAACCATTTTCGATAAACTTATTGGTGAATCCTGCATCTTCTTTTGGATAAGTGCTAGCACATAATGACTTACAAGTTTCATTCTTCAACATAGTTATTTCAAATGGAGAATTGTAGATTCTATCACCAAAAATAATAGCACCTAGGGACTCTGGTTGCTTCTCGAGTTTCTTTGGTTGACAAAAATGTAGTTTTGGATGATAGTAATCAAATGAGTAAACAAAATCTTCTTTGTTCTTGCCCTCGTGGAAGACACTTGGGGTTATATGGTTCACAAGAAGGGAAATTTGATCACCTTCTTTGTAAGACGTTGGTGCTATACCAGGAATATAAAAAGCATTCACCGTGCTTATGACAGCTAATATTGTGAATATTAAACTATGAATCATTTTGATGTATTGAATATTGGCAAACTTTTTTGAACTAATAGTTGTTTTGGATTGTAATCACAGACCGATCTATAATTTTCTCAGACAAATGGGAATGAAAGCAAAGATGCTACTTCTGAGTGAGTGTACACACAACAAGCAGTCTATTAGTGATGTAAAATGCTATCTGAGTCTTCAGTCCTCGATGAAATCAAAGCTTGTTCTCTTTCAATCACAATGCTGACTTTGAGACGTTCATTATGGCTTGAATCTACTTACGTTGGAACGATTTGTTGATTTATGGTCAAGAAAAAAAAAACAAAAAACAATCGCGAATATGACATAATCAGGTATTTCGGTTTTTAATAATAATAATGGTTTGTTGATTAGAATTTATACTGCGGTTCACGCCATTTAAAGACTTCAATCAAGACATTGCAAAAGGTATTCAGGTTTTAAATAAGGTGCTCTGCTGCTTAATAATGGAGTCATATCTCAGTATTTCCAACCTACCGTTTTTCTTGGACCGGGGGATCACAATTGACAACTTGGTGGAGCAGAAACAGTCGAATGTTGCAAGCAAAAAGACTTCAATCGATTGCAAAAGACTAGTCACATGTGCATTCTCCCCTCAAATCACTGTCACAAGCTCTGCTAATGCTGATAATTTAGCGAGTGATTTTGGATTTCACTCTTTCTTCCAATTGCTGAAACCTTTTGGTGACCATATTCAACATAAATTCCAAATTAAAGATTCACAATTAGTTTCAAGAACAGCAGATGATTTCTCAGTGCGGTTCACAAGACCTCTAAGTGACTTATTGAGTATTCAAGAAGCTGAAATCAAGGAAAGAAACAAGGTGCAATTGTTCAACCAACATAGTTTTGAACTTTTGCTTGGTGAATATATTCAAGCGATAAATCCACATTTAAGAAATGCACAAAAAGCAAATGATATACGGTTGCAATCCACTTTGAAAAGTTCAATGTATATCAAGTTTTTCACTAAGCTTTTAAGCTCTTCTTTGTTGACTTCATTTGAATCTTTAAACCATCCAGTGGCATCATTCATCGTTATCAGTGCCGATGACCCATATGATGAGGCAAGAAGATTATTGATTGAGTTTAAAAGCACAAAAGTCCCAGATTTCATGAATATTGAGGATATCTTACCTCTTTTTATTATTGTATATGACGAAGTGAAAGAGACAGATCAACAAAAGGCTTTCCAACTGAAAGATCATATCAAAAAACAATTATTCACAGATGCATTTACCTTGGGCATATCAACAAATAAAGAAGCTAAAAGTCAACTCCTCAGTCCACCAGTTCTGTCATCTATAGATGAGGAGCTACAGAATACACATTTAACATCAATAGGTAATCCAACGCTCCCTGTTTCAACGATTACGTCAATTTATCAAGTTTTGAAAGATGTGATTCAAAGAAAGTTAATACCATTCATGGAGAAAAAAATTGCCACTTGGGATGATCAAGTGATAACACCAAGAAAAAGTTTAACTGGAAGATTTTTCAGTGTATCAAAAAAATATTTCGGAAAGAATCCTCAAAATAATAATGAACAATCAAGTAACTACAATATAGAAAGAGGCTCTTATGGATTTGGAGCTGTTGAGTCGCTCACAAGAAAGCTGGCAGATTGGTCGTTTATGTTAAGAGACTACAGGTATGCTTATACATCATATGAGCTGGCCAAAAAGGATTTTCTGTCAGATAAAGCTTGGGCACACCTTGCATCGTGTCAAGAAATGGCAGCTATATCTTTATTAATGGGTGCTACAAATATCACATCAAAAATCAAAAATGATACAATTGATCCTTTGGTTGACTCTTCGAACTATACATTCTTATCAAGATGTGGCCTAAAAACATATGCATTAAGATCGATATTGATTGTCTCAGAACTTTTCTGTACCTTAAGAGATGGCTGGACTAGTGCACCTGCTGCTTTAAAATGGGTACAAAAGGCAATTGATGATAAATCCGTTGGAAAAATAGGAAGATCGTTACTTTTGGAAAGAATGAGTTATATCAATTCAATCTATATGTCAAGTCAAGCCAAGATTATTCTTTCAAAGAAAGCACAAGATAATGAAAAAGAAAATGAAGAAGACAAAGACAAGGAGGAATATGAGCCTATTTTCAATGAGCAAAAGATTGTCAAAGAGAATATGGGTACAATTGGATTTACGAATAATAGAAAAGCAGCATTATGGAATCTTTTGGCTGCAAAAGATTGGGATCCCGTTTCACAACCACTTCAAGTTCAAATATGTCTAAATTCAACTGAAGACACTTACGGAGGCAAAATTTTTGCTGAAAGAGACTCAAGTTTGTATCAAAGACTACTAACTGTATCCCAGAAACATGTACGAGACTAAGTGATACCCAGATTTGATAAATTTATTAATAAACTGCGTTCTACTATAGACACCTTCATAAATCTCAATTCAAGTTTGTAGAATTTACGGCACAATGTATTTTGCGAAAATTATTTGTTCTATCATTAATTAATTAACTATATTATAATATGTACTAAATAAATAAAGTCAAAGTATTGGAGAATTTTATAATTAAATCACACCCCTTGAAAAACAAAACAAAAACGAAAATCCTTCCAACTATATATATAAAATCAAAGAAAATGCACTAAAAAACTAATAAAATAATGTTAAAAATTAACTGGAAAAGTTTGAAACAAAAAAACCTTTCATGATTGTGTATGTGAACGTATAGAAAATCAAAAGTGTTTATTTTAAAAATAGATCATCAAACATGTCTCAATAAGTTTTCCGGTGGAACAGTATCAAGCATCTCCGTTTCATTGACTCTTGGTTCCAATGGTGTATATTGATGACCTCTCTTTTTGAAAATGAAAAATGCTGCAATTAAACCTATTAAACTCATTGTGCCTACTGCAAGAGCTAAACCAATTAAAACAATATAACCTCTTTTCATGTGATGCGACCCTTGTCTTTGTCCATCAGAACCTGAACTTGAAGAAGGTGATGAAGATGATGTAGATGATTGAGAGCTATTGGTCATTGTGCCACTAATGTACAACGATGAGATATCTTTATTCAAAAAGATTGAATCAATAGAAGCAGTGGAATTTTGATGAGTTGCAATCAAGTATGGTATCCAATGTGTACCATTGAAGTGGGCAACGTTGGCATAACCAAAGCCTGTGATATTCAAGTGACCAGATGCAACCAAGACGTTATTGGAATCGAAATACGATCCATTGTTGTTATTATTTGAGTCTGAGACATTCAACAAAGAGATATCTTTGATGGTTGAGTTGTTTAAATCAGAATCAATAAAATTCCATTGTGAGCCGTCATATGCTCTAATATAATTTGGTCCTGAAACAATAATTCTACCATCTGTAGAGTTATCAACTAAAATAAAGTTTTCAACGATTTCATCTAAATCATCAAAATGATCTGGTTGTTGATTATCAGTGGAATTGAAGTCGTACGTAATAAGTTTTCTTTGGTGATCATCAAGCTCTAAGTCACCAGCAACAACAATTATAGTTTCATTAATGAATCTGAACGCTTTAACATCACCGGAAAATGAATCAATGAGGGATTCCCATTGTGTATTGTTCAAGTTGTAGAAACATAAACCTGAACATGAGACAGATCCAGCACCATCAAAGTCACCACCCACAACCAGATACGTATTGTTCAAGAAACCTAGCTCATTAACTTGTGGAACATCCGATTCTTTCGTTAGACCATCAGGTTGAGGAGACGCAAATGATCTGTTATTCAAATGATAGAAGAAGACACCATCAAAATCATGATCTTCCACCGAACCACCATCATGGGTACCAACGAATAATTTATCATCAACAGCAAATAATTTTGTAACTGAAGCATTTGAGTTCCATGAAACATCAATACTTGAAGTTTCATTATTGGATATAAAGATCAAATTTCTTGCATTTTCTGATGTATTGAATTGACCACCGAATATAGAAAATGATTCATTCACATACAGACCAGTGTTAAAGACACTTTCCACTAAAGCTTCGTTTGTTATATTTGTCTGATTATTATCTTGAGTGATAAAAGTACCTTTATTTCCAATTGCGTCAGATTTTTTTAGTGATCCAACGAAAACAGTAGAATTCCCATTATTAGCGGATGAACTAACATTGAAAGAAAGCTTTTGGTTATTATCATACCATGTTTCATTATCAGATACCCAATTATGTTCATCAAAAGCCAAATATTCTGTATTCTCTAAAGTAATATTGTTTACTCTGCTTGCTTCAAATGATCTTCCAAATGAGTACCAGCTACCATTGTATAATGCCACTTGGTCTAATGAATTTGAGTCTGAACCATCAAGACTTGAGATTGAACTATCATTATTTGTATTATTGAAATCACCTAGTATTATGAGCGAATCATCAACAACTTTTAAGTTATTGACTTGGCCATCTAATCCACCATTAACATCATGAATTGTAACATTAATACCATTAGTTTCATTATTTTGCTCATTATAATCCAGTCTTACTAAATTATCACCATATCTTGAGCTAAAGTTACCACCAACGTATAATGATTCGTTTAACACAGCAAGATGTAAATTTGTATGATTTGTGATAGATCCACCAAGTCTATTTATAGTGGTGTTTCCTATATAGTGTTGATCTGTAATATTACTGGCATCAAAACTTGAAAAATTTCCTGGGGAAAATTCAAAAATACCATTCAATGGTATGGTACCATTAGCATTAACTATATCATCAATTTCATAGACATTAACATCAATTTTATCAGCAACAAATGTGACAGTTGATCCTTGAGGTCCAGGTGAATCTAATTTCAATTCAACTCTTGGTGTTGAATTTAAATGACCATAATAAACAAGATCATATTTTTCTTCTTGATTAGACTGATAAATCAAATTTGTATCCAAAATTTCATTGGTTTCATCATCATAAACAGTAGCATTAGTTATACCTCTTGTTGAGCAAGTTTGGTCAGCACCACAACCCGGTGTATATAACAAAATACTATATTCACCAGCATAGGTAATATTTGGATAAAATGTTACACCAACGTCGTCTGGAATGCCATTTGATACATCAACTTCTGAAACCAAATAATCACCATTGGATGATGATGTCCATTCACCTTGTGTTACCGCCCTAGAATATTCATTAATATCGCAACTTGGCTCGTTTAATGTATTATTTGCATAAGTTGAATAAGTTGATTGGAAAATTTGGAAACCTGCGAGTGCAATATTTGATCCATATGATTCTCTAGCTTCAAATGTTAATCCACCAACATCTAAAGAGTTTATGAAACCAAATTCTTGATAGCTAGAACTGAGTCTAAGACTTGAATCACCAAACCCAATTGGTTCTATATCATCAACAGATTCTAATCTGGATGAATTCAATAGTGGACACCAAGCATCACAATAAGCCAAATCTCCAGTGTCAGGATCAATATAAGTTAGATTCATAATACCATTAGCTGGTGAGGTCAACAATCTAAATAATGAAACTTGTGAGTCTTGATCTTTTGAATTATATATCCGTATTTTGGACGGTATGACTTGATATGGTAGATTGATATTGACTGTTGCGGCAGAAACTCCATTTATAGACCATTCATTTGAACTTTCAGGACAAACAAGTGATTCTGGTGATGACGAATCATCTGAAGATGAAAATTGTGCATATTTCAAACTAACCACTTGATCTGTTGTCACTGATATGTTTGAAGTATTATAAGAATTTGTTAATAATTCTCGAAGCCCTAAAGTTGTAAAATCACCACCAAATATTATGCTTGATCCTAATTTCAATATGGAGCTAACTGTTCCATTTTCTCCAAATCCATGGAATAGTGTGCTATTAAATTGCTGTGTTGTTAAGTTATAAATGGCTGCACCATGAGTATTATTAAATTCAAAATTACCACCAAAATATATTAAACTATCATCAGAATCATAAAATGCAGTTGTTATTGTCCCATTAATGTCATTATCATTATCTATAGATGTGAATTCTTCTGAAGTTGTATTGAATATTGCTGGACTTGAAACGTCTTGTTCACCAATGGATTGGAAATCACCCACTAGTACATAAGAATCAGTTCTTAAAGGTATTATATCATTAATTTCACCACTTATTTCACCCAGCGTTATGAATTGATCGTTATCCCCACTGGTATAATACAGTTGGTTTCTTAAATTATTTTGATTTGTGAAGTTTGATTCACCAATATATTTATATGTTGAAGTAGCATCAAAATCTCCCAAGAATGCAATTTGTTGATTATTTGAATCTGAAAAATCAAATTGTGGACTTGTTACCTCATGTGTACTTAGTCTTGAATATACTGAGCCCACTAAACTTGCCAGTATAAGCCCTATATTGGTCCTCATGACCAGTTATGTGATTTTTATATGATGTGTGTAATATTGAACGAAAATGTAATTATATTGAAATGAATGTTGATTGTTCCCAACAAAAGACTTAAGGATTCAATTTTATAAATCAATTCCAAAATATTTGTATCTTCAAATTCTTTATGGAAACCTGATGGGAAATGTTGTTGGTTTAGAAGAGAATGAATGGCTTTAGAACAATAAGAAGCAATACCTTAACCGCCTTGAACCCAACCAAATATAAACAATAGCTTAAAAACTTGTTAATTGAAAAATCAAACGAATGTGAAAGAAAATAGTCTGTGGGATTAATTGAAGCAAATTATTCTCAAAGCAAAGAGTGTCTTTATATCAAACTGGTGATCTTTTGAACTTGAACGCACTAAATTATTTCAAATTCCTATATTTAACAATAATGAAAATCTATAGAAAAAATAGGTAGTTATTGTTAGCCGGGTAATGTTTACTTTTATCCGTATCCGGTATTTTCCTTTGATCACTGGGGAAACCGAGAGCATTTTAACATATATGAAAAGTCAATCTGAAATTGTGTCAAAAACTCAAAAGGCAGGAACATAACGGTTTTATAAACGTACGATCATACGATAATAAAGTATGAATATTAAATAACTAGATAAATATCAAATTCATTTAAATCGTGTACATAATATATTATAAAATCAAATTACTTAATTAATATATATAAATTAAAAACAAGTTCAAATCAAAGACATGGATTAAGCTTTTGCTGTATGTTTTGCAATTGTGACTTCAATATCATCAACCAATTCACGGTATTTTTGTTGAGTTTCAGCTTGATCTAAAAAGATTTTATATTTAGCATTTAATAATTGTCTATCTGAATTATCTTCTGGAGATGGAACAACAACTTTACCACCACCAGATAATTTAACCATAATATTCCATAAATCTTCACCTGGAGCTTTATTTTCATTTGATTGTTTAATTTGTAAATCTTTAACTTTATCACTAACATCTTTTTGAATACCTCCTTTAGTACCAAATGAAATTGTTTGTTCTTCACCTTCAGAATCTGAAATATCATCTTCTTGTTCTTCATTTACTGTCTTTTGATTAGCAGCAGTCATTGGGAATGGGAATCCACCTGCAGCTGCTATAGCTGAAATATCAGTTGTTGAAGCAGTAGCTGAAGGTGCTGTATATGGTGAACCAACATCTTTTTGAGCTGATAAGAAATCCAATGGTTTGTTTTGCAAGTTTAATTTTAATGATGATCTTCTTCTACCTTTATTTTTTAATGCAATTGCATCTTTAGCTGCAACAGCACCTAATAAAGCAGCACCGAAAACAACAGCAGCATCAATATATCTTGGAATGATGATTGGTAAGCCTGTACAATCAGCTAACAATCTCATTAATAGACCATTTCTACATTGACCACCAGACATGAAAATGGATGTTAAATCATGACCAGATTTTCTCATCTTTTCAACAATTTGTCTAGTTTGTTGTGCAATGAATTCACATGCACCTAAATAAGTAATTGCTAAGTCATCAACTGAAGTATCCATAGATTGACCAACAATAGCAGCTTTCATTCTTGGATCAGCAATTGGAGATCTATTACCATGGTAATCACCATAAAAGAATAAATGTTTTGCTAATGCAACAACAGATCTTGCACCTCTAGTACGTTTTAAATATTCTAATCTTGAATTTAAGAAATCAAATTTAGAAACATTTGATTGATCTGCTAATCTTGCTAATTCTGAATAAGCTGGGTGAGTATTTAATACATGAGCTAATAAAGCACCTGTACATGATTGACCACCTTCAGCTAACCAAAAACCTGGTGCAATAACATCACGATAAGGACCCCAAACACCTTCAACAAAAATAGGATCTTTTGATAATGCAATATGACAAGTTGAAGTACCTGCAACAGCAGCTAATCTACCAGCTGATTTATCAATACCTTCTTTCGATTTTTCTCTTTCAACTAATGCTGGAATATCAATATCAGTTTGAGCAGCAACAGTACCAACCCAACCAGCATATGCATCAATAACACCTGAACCAACAAATGCGTTTGTAGTTAAACCTAATTCTTCGGCAGCTTTCTCATTCAATGGACCAACAGTTTCACCTGCACTTAACCATTGACCACCTAAACCTGGTGCACCACCTAATCTTCTAAAATCGTCTTCAATAACTTCAGGTAAATTGATTTGTTCCAAGAAATCTTTAGCCCAACCATTTTTAGAACCTTCAACTCCTAATGGTAATAAACCTTGTTTACAAGCAGTTGAATTATAAGATCTTGCTTCTGAACCAGTTGCTCTATGAGTTAAGAAATCAGCTAAATCATAAAATTTAGCTTGTTTGAATTTTTCACTTGGTACGTTATTCTTTAACCATTTTAATTTTGGCATTTCCATTTCAATTGACATTGTACCACCAACATATTTCAATAATTTATGACCAGTGGCGTTAATTTCATCAGTTTCTTCAACAGCTCTATGATCCATCCATAAGATAACATCTTGATCTGCATTAGTGAAATCAGGACCAACAGCAAATGGTTTTTCACTTGATGCTTCAACGGCGACTAAAGAGCAAGTTGCATCAAACCCAATACCATAAACATCAGCTGGATCAATACCAGCATCACGAACAGAAGATTTGACACAATAACAAATTGCATCCCAAATTTCAGTAGTTGATTGAGTGATATAACTTGGTTTTAATTCTTCTCTTGCAATTGGTCTTTCAGATAATGCTAAAATTGAACCTGTGTTATCAACAACTGCGGCTCTTGCACTACCAGTACCCACATCAACACCAACGTAGAAGACGGAAGTATCAATTGAGTTTGGATTTTCCAATAGAGCTTGTTGGTTTAAAGTTAAAGTTGATTTTGAACGACTGCTAACAACCATTGTATTTAATTAATTCAATTCAAATCAATTGTCTATAATAATAACTTTTTACTTCAATTCAAAAAAAGTAGTAGTAACAAGAAAAGATTCCAGACTCCTTGATATAAATACTTGTGATTGCTCCAGATTTCAAATTCCTATATGCCAAACTTCCGGTCTATAGCACCCCGGAATTTCCCAAAAGTGGCACATTTTCTTCGAATTTGATGGAAAGAGATACTAGAGAATTGAAACACTACGTAATTGTGTTTGATGATAGTTGTTTTACCACCAGCAATTGCCATCTCATATTATGGACCAATGAGTTCCATTCAAACCCGAACTACTCTAGATGCTACTTCTAGGTTCAAGAGACCATATAATTAGGCTCTTTTATTTAATATCTCCAAGAAATTTCAATTTTCCAGTCATCGGTTGTAAATTGGTACAATTATATAGCAGATCTGAACTACAATTGTAAAAAATATGTGGGGCTATATATTTGTATATGCCTTTTGTAGTTCAAAAGACTCTGATTGAATATATGTTGAGTCGGTTCTGTTTCGTATACTTTGATTGTCGAGTATCTTTTTTTAATTAATCATTGATCTCGATTCTCAACTGATTAATTTAGTTTGTCGGTGTTCGGTCTTTCGATTCTTTAAATTTTGCTGCGCGCAATTTTTTTAAAACTGTTGAAATTCATTTTTGCTGTTGGAATTTTTTTGCAGCCGAAATTTTCATAGTTGATGATCGCGAAAAGATCAAAAAATTTACTTCAATTTGAGTGAAAGACATCAAAATAAAGTACTAAATCCTTGGAAAAGGAGGTATTGAGTAGTTCTTTTTGATTGTTTAAAGCGATGGTTATATAGATAAATAAAATGTCGAACACCTAGTGTACTCAGATTTACCTTTAAAATCATATTTGTTGTGATATTTCCGATTTTCACAAAAAAAGCGACCCCCCTAATTTCGCACTTGTTACTAGCAAACTTATTGTTCATAATCGACTCTTTTTGACATCTACTAGTAGGAATACTGAATATTATATATATCTTCACTAACAAAATTTGCTTATTAAATTAACAGAAATGTAATGGTTTAACTTTTATATACACATCTATATTTTCAAAATTCAAATATCTGAATGTGCTTGTAAAATGTACAATTTGGTGATTTTTCAATTTTGGTTAATTTTGGTCAATTTACACCAAAAAAATTGGTAAAAGTAACCAAAAATTTTGGTGCGTTTTCCAAAAAATTGACCAAAATCCAAATTTCACCAAAATGTATTTTTGAACCAAAATTTCCCACGAGTAAAAAAATATGCATAAATATGTAAAACGGAAAGAGTACTGTTATTATCAGATAAAGATGTTGTTAATTGTGAATAATTCTTAGCTTAACCCCAACTTTAAGTTAGATCAATGATCAATACACAGGTTCTTATTATAAAGAATCAATTAAAGTAATATGTGAAAGTATATCACTACATGACTAATTGAAAAGTCGAGAGGATCCAGTTAATATCGAGCATCAAAGTAATAGTATATTGGAGTTTATTTAAATTATATTATAAAGATATCAACTATTGTTGTCTTTCTACTAGTACTATATGACTAATATTGTTGATAATAACCACATTTCAAATAATTTCCAGATTCGATATATAGATATATTTCTAGCTGTTAATCTTAAATCATGCCCAACTGTTATAAAGCTCAATTTTAGCTAAATCTAAAGCAGCTTTTGCATCTGCCACTGATCCAGAATAAGGACTTAGCTCCTCCTGGATATATTCAGGACCAAAAAAATGCCCAATTAAAAGCTTTAAAGATGGAGACCCGTCTGGAACAACGTTATCAAAAATTTTAATTGTGTCAAGTATCTGTGTATGTTTCCATTCAAGAGCTTTAAAGTCTTCATAAACACCATGACCAATTATAACATCTTCAGCGGTAACAATCTTCAATAACTTGTCTTGTATTTCTTTAAAACTATATTTTGCATTTTCAATATCTGATATTGTAATTTTACCATTGTTTGGAGGTAATACAACAGTTTGACCTTTATGTATTTCTTTCAATCTATTTATTGTATCTTCCATATCTGAATATGTAACTTGATCATTTCTTTTTGCAAATAATAATTTTTTGATTTGACCTCTAGGTCTAACAAGTTCATCCAACACCACATCACCATAGAAATCAACCAATGAAACATGACCAACCTGTTTAGTATCATCATCCATTAAAACAAACTCACAGTCTAAAGCATATATTGAGAGTTTTGTAGGTCCATCTGTGTAAGGAAACTGACTTAAAACGTAGTGTTTGTTTTGACCTTCTGGACACCCAGGTAAAACAGAATGAATTGGATATCTTCCATCTTTTAACAAATCTCCAGGTGTCAAAATCAATGTTTTCAAACGGTATGCTGGGGGATCCTCCATTATAGTAAATGATAGCTGATTATAAAGAGAAAAGATGTAACAGTGATTAATTGAATATAATTTCGTCTTGTGTGACTAACGGATAAACTATTAGTGTATAGTTATATGACTTCTTCTTCCAAAAACGATATTAATTGTAGCGCCAAATCTTTTGGATCCAAGAAGGGAATTGTGTGTGTATTTATATTGTTCCAATAAGTGGAATTATCCCCCAATGTATGAGAATCTAGAGTAGTAGTGAATCTAGGCTCTTGACAATTCGCGACTGAAAAAATACAAGTTTCATTTCAAAACAAATCTTTTACTTCTATAACCAAAAACACACTACTATAACTTATTATGTCTTTACGACATTCACAAAAATAACGTGATGAGCCCATCATTGAGCTTGGTAATACGAAAATACAGTTGATACAAAAGCATACAAACTTCTTTGATTGATTAGTGATTTTGATTTTGAAACAACAAATCAATCCTAATTTAATATGAAGCTTATAATCTGAAGTACTATAATTAGTCTAGATGAAACTGATGTTTTAAAAGATCATGAAACTTTGATTACAAAAAGAAACATGGCTCATTGAGTTACATGATATATCTTACAAGTTCATCTAAATATACAAACATCTTTAATCTTTTTCAAAAATAATTCATTGTATTACTTAAATACGTATTAACAATTAGCTCAAATTGCTCTTGGTTTGGCAGTTTCAGTATAATCATCATAAATATCAAATCTTCTTTGTGTTGAAACTGGAATACCACTTCTTGATTTTGTTAAAACTTCAGGATCTAATTCAGTTATAATAATTTCTTCATCTTCACCAGCTTCTGCAATAATTTTACCATTTGGATCAACAACTAATGAATGTCCATAAGCATGATAGCTCAATTCCAAATTTCTTGAAGGACTAACTAAAATAACATAAATTTGATTATCAATTGCTCTTGATCTTGCTAATAAATGCCAATGTAATGGTCCTGTTACTGTATTGAAAGCTCCTGGATAAACCATTGCAAATGCATTTGATTTACGTGTTGCTATAGTGGCTAATTCTGGGAATCTGATATCATAACAAATACCTTCACCAATATTACCAAATCCTTCTAATGGAATTGTTGTTGCTTTATCACCACTTGTTAATGTTAAACTTTCTTTAAATGTGATTCCATTTGGTATATCAATATCAAATAAGTGAACTTTTCTATGTTTACCTATGATTTCACCATTTTTATCGAATGTAATTGATGTATTATAAATCTTGTTATCATCACCTAATTCTGGAATTGAACCACCAATAATTGAGATTTTATTATCTTTGGCAATTTGAGAGAGGAACTTAGTAGTCTCGCCATTTGGAATTTTTTCTGCATACTTAGCAAATTCAGTAACAGAATATGGTGAGTTGAAGCATTCAGGTAATACAACTAAATCAATTGCAGAATCTTTTGATAAGGCTTTTAAGATATAATCTTTTGCATGATTTAAATTGACTTGTTTATCACTACCAGCTGTTATTTGAAGCAATGCTACTTTTAGCTTTTTAGCAAGAAGTTGAAATGACATATTTGGCTGAATATAATACTAATTTTTTCAAGTCAATTAAGAATTGAGATGTTTGATTGATAAGGAGTTACAATCTTCAAACAAATTGTTGATTATATTTTTCTATGGGGCCACAGTTTTTTTCGGAATTTACACAATACCTATAGAGACATCAAACCTGGTGATTTTAAATTATAAACATCTTTAATGCAAAGATATAATATCAAATACCATCAAGTTAGATAAAGAAAAAATCTCTACAATTTATCAGAAGATTTGAAATCCAAGTTATAAAAATTAACTTTTATTACAAGTTTAAACCCATATTGTAAGATCTAGTACAATAACGTATCTTGATATGCATTCATTTGTCTATTATTAGATATGTTACCGACAACCTAAATTGAACTCATTATCAAGCCAAATAGTCTTGATTGACTCAACATTAAGAGCAGAATGATGGGTATTTTTAGCTAACTTTAACAACAAGTCAAGCCCGTGATCAACAAACATCAGATTCCATATTGAAATGGGTATAAATAATCAACCACTTTAGTCCGAGAACCAGCACCGATGAATAAAAGCCTTTAGCATTCTTCTAGCCTCTTGTGACTTGCACATGGTTTTCCTTCTTCTCCGGTAGATTTATTATTATCAACAAATCATTCATCATTACCTTCAGGTTTTGTAACAGTTTCAACAAGGAAATCAAAGTTTTCATTCTTTTCAATAGCAGCTTTAACATGTTGAGCAGTGATTCTTTTAATACCAGCTTCTCTTGCTTCTGTAGCACTTGCATCAACTAATGAAGCTAAAAAAAATTCTAAAGCTCTACCAACAACAACTGGAGTTGCCTGAGCAACTTTACCAATATCTTCATCAGATTGCATTAATTTTTTTATTCTTGCAGCAGGGAAATGAGTCTTTATGTTATCAAAGTTTGGTGCCATTGTGAATTACTTTACTTATGAACTTTAGTTGGGAATCTTAAAGTGAATTTGTTGTAAATTTGTAAAAATGTTCGTTTATTCGCCTGTTAATTTTGTTTTGTTTACTTTGGGATTTTCCTGGGATTTTATATTTTTTTTTGGCAGCTCCCAAAATTCAAGATTTTCGTAATCACCCGGCAACCGCTTATGTAATTAATTATTATCAAAATGTAGATTTTAACAAAAGTTTGTAAGGAATGATAGTACTATTAATCTATTAGTATTATATCTAAAAAGTAAGAATTTCAATGGTGTAATTTAAATTACAGAAAAATGACTTTGAAATTTTGAAATTTTCGTTTTCATGGAATTAATCGATTTAGTAAATTTTAAATTTGGTTTGAAAAAAAAATAAAAGTCAAAAATTAGAAATTTTAAAAATAAAAAACTCTAAAAATTAGCCTATTGAAATATTCAGACTACATTAAGTATTATAATGCTTTAAAAGATTACTAGTTTCACCAAAAGTCTCCCACAATTTAAATTTCAAATGTTCAATAAATACCTAAAATCTACAATTTTGTAAAACGAATTCGCGGCACAAACCCTTTTTTCCCAACGCTGAAAAAATTATGAAAAATAATTTTAATTTTCAACTTCATAAACATTTTTTCACTACTAGATTTGTATCAAACTTCAAGATTAAAATCATCAACCATGTCATAGAAGTACAAATTGTGAATAATATGGAAGAGTAAGTGACAAGAACACCATATATGATATCAAGATGTTATTCAATTGCATTTTTTATGATGAGAACAAGTCCTTAGAGACAATTTATATAAACCCAGCTCTTCGACTAATCTGTTCGTGAGAAGAAAATTTGTCAAACGCTCTGATTTACAAAAATTAATTGATAGTTAACATTCTGATATTTTATAATTTATGAATATCTTACTAACAAATTGTTTTTAGATTCAAAACAAACCAATTCAACATTTGAATTTATCCTTTTATTTACAATTCTATATACATGTCAATTTGATTTTGATTTCAACTATTCTTCTGTAACTATGTTGTATTTATTTTGTTGGATCGTCTTATCTATTTTGTTTTACCACCAACCGCTTTAATGATGATGATATCACCATCTTGAACTTCATAATCTTTACCATTTCTATCATATTTCATTGCTTTTTCAACATCTTCAACATCTTTTAGTTCTTCAGATTTTTCAAAAACTTTTGTTGATTTTAAAACTTGAGCATTTATGAAATTTTTTTGTAAATCTGTATGAATTAATCCTGCAGCTTCTGGTGCTGTTGAATGTCTTTTCAAACTCCATTCTTTTGCTTCAACTTTTCCAACTGTATAGAAACTTATCAAGTTTAATGAGTCTTTCATTGATATAACCATATCATTTATGATTGGGGATGCTGTTTCTGAATTAACAAATTCATGTTCATGATCTGCACTAAACATAATTAACTTATCATTTGGTGAATGTTCTTTCATCCAATCTTGAACTGATTTCAAATATTTATTAGTCTGTGATTCATAATCTGGTTTAGAAACATTTAATAAGTAAACTGTTGGTTTTGCAGTCAAAAATTTATGCTTGTTTATAACATTGACTTCGTCTTCTGTCCATTTAAAGATATTTGATAATTTACCATGTTCAAATAATAAATCATTAATTTTTTCCAAAATTTCATTTTCTTTTGTTAATTCAGCTCTCATATTTGGTTTATTCATATCTTTTTTATTTCTTTCTATTGTTGTTTCAACAGTTTCTAAATCTTTTAGTAATAATTCATCATTGACGATTTCTAAATCTCTAATTGGATCAACCGTGATTTCAATATGAGTTATGGTATCATCATCAAATCCTCTAACAACATGGAAAATACCATCAACGTTTCTAATATCTGATAAAAATTGATTTCCTAAACCTTCACCTTTTGAAGCATTTCTAACAAGGCCTGCAATATCAACAATTTTCAAATATGATGGAGTTATCTTTGAACTCTTATAAATTTGTGATAATTTCAATAAACGATCACTTGGAACTCTATAAAGCGCCTCTTCCGGTTTAACAGTAGCAAATGGATAATTATTTGGATTCCCAAGTGATGATTTCGTTATAGCTTGAAAAAATGTACTTTTACCAACGTTTGCAAGACCAACAATACCAGCTGATAATTTACTACTGGTACGACCTAACAATGCATTTTTAGGTTCACCACTAGAATTTGAACTTTTCCCCTTTGAAACCTTTTTCGCCAATGAAATGGCACTGGAGTTGAAAGATCTTCTGGGTATCCAAAACATACTTGTTCTTCAGTCTTTCCAAGTTTAGTTTTCACTACAAAATCTTGTCTTCCACTTTTAATATTTGTTTATTTTACCTTAAGCGCCAAAAAAAAAAAATTCATCTATATAGTGCATTTACCAGATCTATAAACTTATTCCAAATCATGAAGAGAATTGTAATGTTCACCAAGAGCATAACTGTGCTTGTAATAAACTAGCTTCAACTCTTCATTACGACCTTCTTCATAGATCTTCAAGGTAGATCTACCACTCATCATCACAGAGATTGGGCTATCATATTCTTTAGCTAAGGCTAGAATTTCTAAATCACTACCCCAAGCTGCTGTTTTTTCAATTTTTTCAGTATATTCATCAATGTTTTTCAAACTCATAGTTTCTTCATCAAAAAGATATGGAATGAAAGTATCTGGGTCTGATCTAATATGATTTGCTGATTTGGTTCTTAATTCTTGAATACTAACTTCAATACCTTGACGTAATTTTAATTGATCAGCTATAGATGCGAATAAACAATTACCATCTGGTTTGATATCAAATTCTTTCACTTTTGCAATAGAGCATAATGATTTGATGTTTTCATCTTCAATACCTTTTAAATCTGGTTGTAATTCAGCTTCTTTTTCAGCTTCTTTTCTTTGTTCATCTAATGCAGCTTGTCTTTTAGCTAATCTTTCTTTTTGACGATTACGCTTTGGTCCCTTTGTTTGTTGTTGTTGTTCTTGGTGTTGTGGTTGCTCTTTTGGTTTGTTTTTTTCTTCTTCTTCTTTCTTTTCTAGTTCTAATTGAGCTAATAATTTTTCTGGCGTTAGTTCATCATCATCATCATCTTCAGCATTATTTTCTTGAGTTGGAGCATCAGTGCCAGTTGATCCTCTAGCGTATAATTCCTATAGTTGTTCATTAGTAGATATACCATGAGATTTAGACACAATTGACTTACTTTTAGTTCTTCTTCATGTTTTAGTTTTAAATTTTGTTCTAATTCAGTACATTTTTTTTGAACTTCTTTCTTTTTGGATTTAGTAGCTTGTTTCTTTAATCCAGTAACTGTAGCTACTAAGTCTCTGTTTTCTTTCCTATGTCTAGCTAATATTTGTTCTTCTGTTTCGAATTCACTCATCTTTCTATGGTCTGCTTAAAAAATTTAAACCTAAAAGAAGGTGTTAAACTCAAACGTAGTTCTTTCAAAGATTGATACCTAAATAAACCTTCAAACTTTAAAATCGCGATGCGCGAATTAATGTGAAAAAGTCTCTTTTATGTAATCACATCATATCTCAGTACCAAATAAAAGAAGGTTCAATACAAAGTTTTGGTGGCTAAATGGTTCTAAAGACTTAAAATTATATATTGAAGTAAAAAATTACATCTTCAAAGAGTTAAAAATACTTTTATATTAAGATTTTGATGTTAAAATTTTAAAAAACAGCAAAAAAAGTAAAGCGACCCCGGTCAGGATTGAACTGACGATCTTGCGATAACCTGTTGAAAGTGGTGAGCTTTTTTTAACAGTCGCACGCCTTAACCAACTTGGCCACGGAGTCCCGATTTGGAAATTTGAAAATGGGTAAAATAACAGATTACAAGACGCACATTAGTCATGGCTTAGTAATCATAATAGCCATGAAATTCATAATTTAGCTTTTTAAGGCTTGTTACATTGAAACTTTTGTTTGTGGATAAAATTTCCAGCTTTTAGACTGGCTAGGCTTCAATATATTTCAGCAGTTTTCTTGAAGGAGCATAACGAGTTATCAGGGTGCATAGAAAAAGAATAATATTTGAGCTAGAATTTGAAGGTGTTGAAGAGATATTGATTACATACTAGTAGTTCTAATGAATGGACCACTTTTGCGCTGTATAAGCGATTCTTGAAAATATTAATACCACATCATCTTAATAATTCGCTCTTTTCACAATAGAAGTAGCTCCAAAATATATATTTTAAAAGCCTGCAACTAGATCTAATATTATGCTAACTTGAATAGAATATTTGGATATACCATATCAGAGTACAATAAAAAGATAAATAGTAATCTACAACTATAATTTTAAGCATGAATGTCTTTTTACTTTATAATATAAACATAATTATACAAATATTTGATGAAGATTATAGTTTGAAGTGAAACTAAAATCTGAACGTTGATAATCATATTGATTAACTTGCTGAAAATTGAAAAAACGTAACAAAAAAACTTTATAATGATAATGTACATGAACCTTAAAAAATTGAACCCTGAGTGTAGTAAACCGTAACTATGAATGATAATAAAATAACAATAAAAAAATAATGAAGAACCCTATTGTACAAGTATAATGATTTGATTTGACTCTTGAATTGCTTATTCAAAAATTGATAAAGCACCAAAAGATTGTTCAATACCATATGATCCTGGTTGTTTCCAGAAATCATCAAAAGTTGATAATAAAGTGATTTGATTATCTAATTCTTTTAAAATACCTTCAACAGCAATTCTTTGGTTTGATTCTGATGGGATATTACCACCGTTTTGAATACCTTTGTGTGGATAACCGGTTTCAGTAACAACAATATCTTTATCACTACCACAAACTTTTTTGATTAAATCAACTTGACCTTTAACAAATGAACCAGAAGTTTTAGCACTTGAATTTTGATCAAAGTATGGATGTGGTTGAATACCTAAGAAATCAACATCAGCTGAACATAAATCTGGGTTTTCTTGGAAAGTAACTGGAGGCTCAGAAGTGGTGACTTTACCATTGTAACCATTTGATTGTAATTTACCTTTGACTGAAGTGATTAAACTTTTTAAATCAGAGACTGAAATATAACCAGATTGAACAGCTTCATTACCAATAGTTAAGAAATCAAAAACATCCCAACTGTTTTCTTTAGCATAATCAATAATATCTTGAACAGAATCAGTAATTGATGAAGAACCTGATGAAGAGATCCAGAAACCTTGATTAACTTTCAATCCTAAAGAAACAGCATTTGGTAAAACAGTTTGGATTGAGTTACAATCAGTACCATAAATACGAATAACTTTAATACCAACACCAGAAATTTGTTGTAAATCAGACTTAACATCATCATTAACCTTACAAGTACCATCTTTATTATATGGACTGTAAACGATAGCACTTGGAACAGATCCTGAATTACCCCCTGAAGTAGAGCTTGAAGTTGATGAAGTTGATGAGCTTGAAGTGGTTTGATCATCTGAGGTAGAAGAGCTTGGTGCATCTGTAGTTTGAACATCTGAAGATTGAGCATTTGATGTAGTAGAGCTTGGAGTTTGTGAGGTACTTGATGAAGTTTCAGCAGGAGTTGATGAAGCAGGACCATTGTTGTTGTTGTTGTTGTTGTTGTCAGTTGGTTGAGGAGCTGAAGAAGATTGATCACCAGCATTGTTGTTGTCAGTTGATTGAGGAGCTGAAGTAGATTGATCACCACCGTTGTTGTTGTTGTCAGTTGATTGAGCTGCTGATGAAGATTGATCACCACCATTGTTGTTGTTGTTGTTGTCATTGTTGTCATTGTTATCATTGTTATCACCTTGTGGTGTATTTGATGGAGCTAATGTAGTAGTTGGTGAGCTTGTAACTGGATCAGCATCTTTGTTGATATAACTAGTGAATGTAGTAGCTTCAGTAACAGTAGCATCAGTTAAAGTATAAGTATAAGTAGCACCATCACTAACCAAAATTTCAACAGTTGGAGCAGTATGTGTGTTTGTAGTAGTTGAATAAGTATCTGTAACAGTGACGGCATCAGCAGTATGTTGTCTTGTGATAACAACTGGAGCAGCTAAAATAGCTTGAGCTAAATTCAAAGCGATAGCGATTGATGAAAATTTCATTTTTGATAATAAAAGAATGTGTTTGAGCTTTAATGTAATCCAAATATAGTGTTGAAAAGAATGACTATTAGAATGTGATCTTGATCTAAAGAAAGACTTGAAGTTGGAGAGATATTTGAAAAAGAATGAATATCAGTGAGTATTGAAAGAACACAACTAATGAACTTGTTTTGGATCTAAAGCAATGAATGAATGAACGGATAATGAGTCTAAAATTAAATCTAAATCATGATAAAATGAATGATTTTGATTCTTCTTTATATACCCATTGATTTAAAGGCTGGCTGGCATATGCAAAAGTTTCCATACGTTTGATTCATGGTAAATGACATTTCCTGATTCGGATGGCTGGTTTAACAATCCAGATCATGCATGACATTGCATGAGATCTTAAAATTTTCCTTCCTTTACGGATTTTTGATTCATGTTTTTCAACACTAAAGCCAAAGAACAATTGGATCATATTTTCGATGGTTCTTTTTCACCAGTAACCATAGCCTATATCAATCACTTAGGTCATGACTCATTAGCTACAAACATCGAAGAAGTACACAAATGATAAATATCTACCAGCAGCTTACCTCATCAATATATGCTAATCCGAGATCTCGAACATCATCGTATAAAATGGACCAGAGCTTACCCGTTACGTATTATAAGAGCCCATATTACGGGCTAATTATTAAACACTAATCGCAGCACACCTCAATCATCTACAGACTACCAGTAATATTCAAATATTCAACCTCGAAGATTATGTACCGTGTTTACACTTGCTTAATCAAATTAATTAACTACTACAGGATCAATTTCGCTGCACCTACCGCATGTATTACATAATCTTCACTTACTGATATGGAAGAATAACCAGCGTCAAAAATTTGAAAATAATTCGATTTGTAAAAATGAACACCTAAAACAGTAAAAGATCAAGCTCTTTACCTTTTTGGTTAATATCCAGCTATTCAACTCTCAAAATACCACTAATAATTCAATGGATCAAAGATGTTGATACTGCATGGGGAATTACTTTGGTTAGATCAAATGCTGGTGCTTGATTAAAGGTTCCTGGATCAGGCAGTTGAAGCAATGGTTCGAATCAAAACATTAGATCAAGGTCCAATACCAAATTAAGTAAGATTACAATTACTGGTAATGTCAAAAGCTGGAGCAATCGAGATAAACTCTCATTCATGAAGTTGCGCCATGTATATTATGATCTTAAACAACATTATAAAGCAATTAATATTGACAAAACAGCTAGTTAGCTTGCAAGTGAATTCTCTGTTGGATTTCAATGCATAGAAGGTTGGCAATCTAGATTCAAAAAATAGATTAGAATACTCGCAGCTGATAATGTTAAACTGGTCTATATTAGTTCCACTGAAAGTATTAAACATAGAGGCAAAAACACGAAGCTGAACTTTGATATTAATCAAACTTTGATTTGATTCACTTCCTCAAGACCCAAGTCATTCTAAATGTTCATGTTAATAGATACTCACATAGATGTATACCTGCTAATTAAAACTTACCACTAGCTTCTTTGGATCAATGTATTCGGAAATATAATTCAAAAGATTTTGATACTTCAGCTATTGTTAGTAACTTTTGTTAATGAAATTTAAAATTGATAACGATACATACTAATTTTACTCTTTTCTTGGATTCTTTTGTAACGTCTTGAGATAATGATTGGATCTTTTCAACAGATTCTGAACTTAAACTTGGTGTATCATTAGCAGAATCGATCTTTTGATTCAATGTCTCAATATTTCTTTTTAGCGTTTCAAGCTGGTTATCTAGATCTTCATCTGTTGGTATTTTGATAATATCAGACAAATCTAAAGAGCATTAGTACTATTAAACATCACAGATAGAGATTGATGAAATAACATACCATTTTGTAGTTGTGTTAACTCTTGCTGGATTTTCTTACAAGATTCTCTTGTCTTTTCCAATTTCTCATCATAATTGACATCCTTTTCTGAAGCATCCTATCTCGAGTGTTAATGTATGATCACTTTTACTTATCAATCAGAACAATACTTACCACTTCAACTTGATTAGCAACAGAAACAGTAATCTTTCCATATTGCTTTGTAACAATCTTCCCTTCTTCAGCTAATGTCTCAAGTGCTCTTTGAGCAACTGATTTCCCAATTGCACCGTGTAAATTTTGAACAATATCATTGACGGTATAAGGGCGATATTGTTGTTCAAGATACTCCAAGATGACCTTTTCAGCTGATAATGGATTGTTAGAAATGTTCACTATAGCTCGCAACCATGTGTTTATTTCACTTACCTTCATCACCTTTTATAGCTTGTGTCTTCTTCTCCTTTTTTGGTGGCATTTTGTTCTTTTTCAAAGTTTAGGGTATTGCAATTGAATTGAAATTTTGATAAATTCATGAATTTCAAACATTTATATATTTTTGAACACGGCGGCTAATTTTAAATCTACATAGATCTGGAAAAACACAATTTATCATTTTAGATTTTCATTACTTAAAAGATTCTATTTTTCATTTTAAGGATTCTGGCATCTTCATCATCACAGTAACAAGACCAGTCCATCCTAAGAAATGTTTAGCACCCCTAGGCTTACCATTTTGATCATCATATTGTTCATAAGCAAAACCTGTAGATTTCCATTGTTTGTAGACATTCTCAACAACATTTCTTCTAAGTTCAGTATATGTTTTATTGGCCAAATCCCAAGTTTCTGGATCTAATTTGGCTCCATTTTCACCAGTACCATAATGTAATAGCGAATCAAGAACTAAATAATTGATATTGATCCAGACTGGACCTCTCCAATATTGTTCATGAGTTCTATAAAATTCATTTGATTTAGATAAAGATCTAATACCATACTGAGACCACAATTCTTCAGGATCAGCTATAAGCTCAATAATATCACGAATATGTTCAGAGCCTGGTTCAATCAATTTTAATGTGAATGGGAATAATGAAATATAACCTTTAGCACAATAAAATACATCTCTATCAGTTTGATCAACTGAGACATCACAATAAGTTTTATCCTTCTTGGACCAATGTAAATCTTCGATATTTCTTTGAATGTCATATTCAATTTTAGAATATTTAGCTGCATCCTCAGTCTTACCTAATAATTCTGCAATTTGTTTCATTGATCTAGTCATTGTACCAACCCATGAGATTAAATCAACGTTCAATTCAGCAATATCAGGCGGTAAAGCTCTTGGATAATCATCAAGACCTGAAGCTAAATTATGTGTGAAAGTACGACCTTTCCATCTATATGCTTCATTTGGTGAAAAAGGTTCACGTTCAAATTCTTCTAATTCACCCTTTTGTGTTCTTTTGAACCATTCATAATGTGATTGTAATTTTGGATAAATGTTTTCAGCATAATTAATCAATAATTCTGGATATCTTAAATGAGCATCTGTAATATCTGTGAAGTCAATATCACCATATTTATCAACTCTTTCAGGTTCATCAATATCACCAAAACTAAAATCTTTTGAATCTTGGGTTTCTTTTGCCTTCTTCAATAAATCAGTAAATAGTAACATTAAAGTTGGTGGATTTGCAATATTTGGATTTTGAACTTGAAATTCACTTGGAACACGAGATCTTGCTTCAGGTCCCAGAATTTGTTCTCTAGCAATCCATCCATCATCATCAATTAAATTAAACCAACTTTTCAAAATTTCCAAGACTAAATCAGTATCATATTCAAGAATTGGGATCAATTGGAAACCTTCATCCCAATAAAATCCTCTTGGGAAAAAAGTTCTACTTGGAACAGAACTAAATAATTCAAATGGACCTTCAGGTTTACCTTCTAATTGAATTGGTTCATATTTTTCCTCATTAAATTCAGTTTCTCTATCAACAAGATGATCACCATGGAAATAACCAATACCACCCATTAAATTTGAAATGAATTCTTCAGAAAATTTCTTATATTCAGCATTATTAAAAGGTGGTTGCAAATCTAAGACTTTATTAAATTTTGCATCAAATTTTGTTAATGTTTGATTAATTAATAAATCAAGATCTTCAGCTTCAATTTTATTTGATGATTCTTCCAAATTAAAGGTAATATCAAATTCAAAAGCACCAACAAATGTTTTTTGAATGAAATGTAAATTACCTTCAAATCCATTCAAATTACGTAATGTTAATAAAGAACTTGGATGTGGAATATTTTTAGTATCTGGATTTCTTGCAATAATTTCATTAACAGATTCACTAATCAAGACATTAAAGATATCTTTAGCCTTCCATACATTATCATTTGGAGCCCTCATTGATACATAATGAGTTCTTGAAGGGTTTAAATCAGGATCTGCAATTTGCTTTTTATTTAAGAATTTATGTTGATTTGTATTTGGTCCATCATTAATATCAATTTCAAAACCTTGAAATTCATCGGATTGACCAATTAATTTAATTGGATCACCTCTTTTGAATCCATCAGATGGAGCTCCAACAGCAGATGTTAACATACCTTCACCTTCTAAACCTGCATAAAATACAATTGAGTTTGCATTTTTTTCATATCCAGGTCTTGGAACACCTTTAACTTTTATAGCCCAACTACCTTCTTTATTCTTGATAAAATCAGTTGTTAAATCTAATTTCAACTCATTATCATGAAATATTTGTTTACCACCAATTCTTGGATCATATTGACTCCAACCAAACCCATTGAAATCTTGACCTTGATCACAAACATGTCTAATATTATGAATGTTTTCTATATTATCAGCATTGAACCAGAATAAGCCAGCCATTAAAGAATGTGGAATACGAGGTCTTATACCCAAATAGTTACCAGGTCTATAAGGCCCCCATAATAAACTTTGCTTTGTATATTTTTCATAATCTTTGATTAGTTGGTCTTTATCCTCCACAGCTAGACACCAATTGGCCAGAACTGATAGGAAAACCACCAAGAGACCTAAGTTCCTTAGCATTTCAGCAAGTAATAATATAGCAGTCTAATTAGCAGAGAACAAGTCTTCCAATTGAGCTAAATTTGACACTTTTGTTGTTGGAAACTTCATCAAGATTCTGTGAAATCTTGACACGCTTTAAATTAAAAGCATAAAATCGCGGTAAAATTACAAAATCTTGTTATTTGTTTACAAAAGAAGTTTCGAATACTTCAACAAACCAATCACAAATCAATCAACCAAAAAAATAAAGAAGAATGGATAGTCAAGACCAACAGTTACAAGCACTTCTTGTGATTGCAGAGATTATGGGTGTGAAAATTGATCCCAAAGTGTTGAAAATCAGCACCAATATTATTGACCAAGGTGTTGATCCTGTTGTTTTAGCGGTAAGTTGAATGAGATAATTTGAGCTCAGGATAGGAAATGAATGACTAACTATGAAATAGACTGCTATAAAGAGGATCCAAGAAGAGACTCAGATTTAGATATCACTCGCTTTAGATTGGTTGGATCAAACCATGATCAGGGTTCGCATTAGGTGTGATCATTCGTTGCAGAAATTTGCTGAACTACAGAGGAACGCTAGATCATTATCATTCATCAATAAGTCTGGTTACTTTTGACACAATGGTGCTTCGTATTCTTTCAAATATCCCCTTCAAACATATCAAATAGGAACCAATATAATGGCCATGATATCTTTCCTTTACTAATCACAATTAAAACTAATTATCAAGGAATAAAACTACATACACAATTCAATAAAGCAAACATTAATATCATAAATTATCTAATAAGTAATAAACACAAATACACACATAAAGGAGTGATATATTCAATCATAACATTATTGGTTGATTTTCAGAACCAGCATCTGTAGAATTATTGTTATTACCTTGGAAAGGTTGGAATCCAATTATATTTGCAGAAGTTTGATAACCATTTGAGCCATTAGTATTTGGTAATATTGGCGCGTTATTATTTGTTGGTGCTGGAGGTGGTTGGTTTATATTTATATTTTTTTGATTATTTTGATTATTTTGATCCTTCTTTTTAGTATATGTTCTCTTCCTCTGTGGTTTCTTAGGTTGTTGAGTTGTAGTTGTATTCTTATTATTCGCTGTATTTGGTGCATTTGAGTTAGCTGTATTTGTGTTTGTATTTGTTGTTGAAATTGGGATTGATGGTTTTAATTGTGGTTCTTGCTTTGGGGGTATTTGAAGTTTTAAATCTTGATTAACAACATTCAATAAAGGAGTTAATCTTTTATATCTCTCCACGTAATCATCCAGAGTTTTCTGTAATTCAAAAGCCCTATTTGAATTCTCTTCAAAGACTTGTTGTGCTATTAAATTAGTTAGTTTTATATATTGACAAAATGAGAAAATATAAAATACTCACGTTTAGATGTGGGCCCAATACTTGCTATACCCGTTAGAAACCCAGCCATTTCTTGCCTTATCACAGTTATCTTCAAATTTGAGTTAGTGACACCATCCATAAATAAAATCAAACACACTCTTGATGAAACTCACCTGGTTCTTCAAATAATTCACCTCTTCCATCACATCATCAATATTGATATTCCCATCTTCAAAATCTTTCACACTCAAATTCTGTATTGAGTTGATTTTTTCTATAGCTGTAAAACTCTCCATTATCTACTTCCTGATGCAACTCGTAAACAATATAACCAAACGATTAATCTGATTATTTATTCAACTTTCTGTATCTTCGTAATGTGTGAATTATCGCCTCGATTTCAAGTTTTCTTTTTAGCACCGAATAAAAACACAAAAAAAATTCGCGCATGTTTTAGATAGAGAAGATATTAACTATTGAACTTTTACCAACTACGAAATTTTAAAGGGTTTCACATACTATATATTCAGTTGGATCTAGACCGTATCACAACTGTGGATCCCTGAAGTGTCCACTTACACAGATACCTGCTCTGGAGATCCTCAAACCTGATGTGGTATATCTCATCGATGTAGCTTTTTGGTAATTGGAAATAAGAGCTTTGAATACATTTGAATGAATGATTGATCATTTTGGATTCACCATATTTCATCATTTTATAGTACATCAAATCTTTTTCATTGCCCAAAAGATTGAACCAAGTAACATAATCTAATAATCTCCATGCTTTTAAAACCTTACCTAATTTTAAATCATCTTTGGCATATTTATAATAAACTTCCAATGCCCCATCATTCGATTCATTGAAATGTGCAAGATGTAGTGCCAATATATTAGTTATTTCATTCAATTCTGAGCTTGTAAGTATGTTTTGATGTTTCAAAAGGAAATTAATACTTGGAACATATGTCTGATAATGCCCAATTTTAGATGATAACCGTATTGAATATAAAAAGACAGATTTAGCAAGTTCATCAGGTTCAAACTTCAATAATGCTTCCCTTAGTTTACCTATATTGTATGTTAGAGCCTCTATTTTATAATTAATATGACGAATGAACCTTACTTACGCAATGACATTAAAGCTTTATCAATATCTTCTTTGTGATTTTTATCTTCTAAATTTAATTTAGAAAATGATTTCCTAATAGTCTCCACATCAGACCTTGCAAATGAATCAGTTAACTTGAGAAACATATTAGTAAATAATTGACATTTATCAATTTTAAAGGAAACAAACTCACTTCTTGTTGTATTTGTTTAAAAAAATCAGTTCTCGCTTGTGGATCTCTTTGAAGTCTATTATCTTCACCACGACTAATCAGTCCATAACCTTCTTTATTTTTATTTTGATCATTGGCAAACCTCTCTCGACGCCTTTGAGCAGCGTCTTTATCAATCGGCAGCGCGGATGATGATGATGAAATGGATGAAAACGGTCTTTGATTAGTTGTTGTTGATGATGATCTATTGAAATTTGATTTTTGATAGTTTGATCTTGAACGAGGTGGTCTATAAGATCCATTTGAACGAGGTTTTGCACCAGATGTTCTTTGTGATCCTGATCCTGAATCTTGACTCATGTTTCTAATTAATTTTCAAGTTATCCACTGATATTCTAAGCTCAATCTGATGAAATCTTTATTAAAACATCAGTAAATATACAAAACAGTAGGAGCGCTATTTGTAAACAAAGCGTTATGTAATACATAACAAGTTCGCGAATTACACAGACCTGATTACATAATACATTACAGATCAAAATAGCGATATTAAATCAAATTTAATCATGAATACCTCTATCTAACTATGAACTTGAAATTGGCAACGCTGTTGAATCTCTTCTTTTCCTACTTGCAGCTTTTCTTGATCTTCTAAAGTTTAAATAAAACACACAACCAATCGAAAGAACTGCGAAAATTGCACCGATTTGAAATGTTGCAGCATAACAACCAAGCTCAGCATCACAAATTTTAACCTTCAATTCTTCATCTTGATGAGAATGTAAATCATAAATACTACCGAATAAATGAGTGAAGAAATATCCCGGTATAATTGGACCCAGATTAATGAAACCCCAACCAAATGAAAATGCATTCACCCCGAAGAAATCTAATAAAATTTGTGGAATTGAACTCCATGTAAAACCATAACCCAAACCATTCAACATCGATACAATCCAAAGATATTCATGACTCGAAACTAAAGATCCTAATATTTGAACAAGTAATAAGAGCCCTCCAGGTATTAACATTATCCAACCTCTTGATTTTTTAAAATAAGCGGAAAGTGAATCACCAACAATTCCACTTAATAATCTTCCTGTACAATTTGCAATCGACATGACAGAAACTTGAAATTGTTGTTCACGTAAAATAACATCTTCAATAGAGCCATGTAATAAGGATTTTACCATAAAACCAACAGAATATATATACATTTGTCCTAATGCAGCTAAAATACCAGCAGTGGTTAACAATAACCAGAAATCAATACTTTTGAAAACTTCGAATTTAGTGTATTCTGTTTTCTGTTTTAATTTCTTGTGTAATAACTCTTCTGCAAGATGTTGTTGTTTTGGAAATGGCGTGGTAGAAAGTGATTGTAGTTCAATTGATGGAGTTCTTGAACCTCCGGTTGGAATAGGAATTCTTGAAGATTGTCCATGATTTGAGTTCTTATCAGCAATATAAACCATTGGTAAAGTCATCAAGCAGACAGCTCCAGCTGAATATCCTAAAAATGCTAGAAAACGTGCAGTATCAGCTTTGAAAAATAACGAAGCTATTGATGAATAAATAAATGCACTTAATCCATAAGTTGCAATTGGGAAAGAAGTTGCAATCCCTCTATTGTTTGGAAAGGTAACGGCACAACATTTGATAGCAGCTGAATTAATGAATAAAGACCCAGCACCGACTAAAAATAATAAAGAAAATGAAATGCCAACACTCTCATAATTTTTAACATATTGATCTTTGAGTCCTATAAAACCAGCAGATAAACCTAGACCACCAATCAGCATTGGAATCCAAAACCCCCTGTTATCTATGATGAATGATGCTGGTAAGCCTGCACACGCAGTACCTATAGTTCCTGCATATGCAATCAATGAAGACTCAGTAGTGGTATAATGTAATTTATGGGCAACTTGAGGTCCATAAGCTGAGTATAGATATAACGTTCCACAGACGAAGCCCACGACGGAGCATGCTAGCAGAGTTCCTGCTCTTTGCAATTGTGACATACTAACTAATCATCCAATGTTTTGTGTGAGATCTGAAAAGGTAAGCTTTCCAAAACATAAAAGATAGTCGATAAAGAGAGTGAGAAGCACTAAGACTTATTTATTTATACTACTCGATTGTTTTGATAAATATTTCTCGAGAAAACAGAAAACGCTCTCCACGGTTCGTGCAGGGCTCGAGGCCTAGAAGGTTCACGCGACGCCAAAATGGTGCCAAATGGTGCCAAAAATGAGCTGGTTTGAATGAGAAGATAAAACAGAGGTTTCAAGGAAGCTTTATTCATAACTGCCTACTATACTACAGGGAAATTATGAGAAACAAGGGCATAAGATACAATGATATTACGACAATGTACGCTACACGGCTTCAAGTTTGGTATACCTGAGTCGCGCTTTTTTTCTTGGATAGAGGCTTTGGTGAGATGATAGATGATACTGTAACACAAACTCTGGGATAGCTCAGTTCGAAAATTGTTCATTCTCCCTATTTTAAAGGAGTCCAACCTGAAGCATGCTAAGTAAGGGTCTTTTATCAAGAAGGTTTTTCAGTTCTTCGAGAAGTAATCTAGAAAGCTTAAAAATTGCATTTTTCGGTTCAGATGAATTTAGTATAGAGTCATTGAGAAAATTAGTCCAAATATCAAAAGAGAAACCTGGGGTAATTGATTCAATTGATCTTATAGCAAGACCACCAAAAGCCACAGGGAGATATCTTAAAGAAGTTACAGATGTTCCAATTGCTTCATATGCTACAAGTGAAAACTTAGCTATTCACAGAGCTGAAAAAGATGATGAGATAAATTCATTAATATCTAACAAATATAACATGGCAATTGCAGTTTCTTATGGTAAATTAATCCCAAACCAATTTTTGAATTCACTTAAATATTCCTTAAATGTTCATCCATCCTTATTACCAAAACTTTCAGGTGCAAGTCCTTTACAAAAAGCTTTATTAAATCATGATAAAACAACTGGTGTTACTGTACAAACTTTAAGTCCTGATAAATTTGATAAAGGTGCTATAGTGGATCAAACTGATGAAATATCGATTGAAAAAGATGATACATATAAATCTTTGAGAGATAGACTAGCAATTATTGGGGCTGATCTTTTGGGAAAAGTTATCATTGATGGTTCTTATAGTAATCCAACTTTCAAATCCAAATATAAATTTTCTTATACTGGGAAAATAAGCCCAAATATGACAAAGATCAATTGGAATAACTCATCATCTTTTGATATATATCGTCAATTCAATACACTGGGCCCATTACATACTTTTAAAGAGATTCGTGTCAAGGCTAAAAAGGGCATGACCAGATTAGGTTGGAGAAGGGTGATATTGTATGATGTTGAACAAATTAAAGAAAACTTAGATTCATTGAAACCTGGTCAATTTATTAATAAAGATTCAAAAGTGATTATTAAGACTTCTGATGGTGCTATTGCTGTTAAGGAACTACAATTAGAATGTGAAAAAAGAGAGGGTGCTGATAAATTCTACGCATCTTTAAAGAAGAAGACTGGAGACACAGAAAAAATCTTTCAAGATAAACCTGAAAATTCACAAGATACGTTAATCAAAACATCCGAGCTACAAGTATGAAGAGTATACTATTCATAAATAACAAATCATTGTATAATATCTATAACAACTTTTTAATAAACTAATGTACATAATTACGATCAAATGAAAGACAATACTGTAACATCATGGCATTTTTCACCAGTGATCTAAGGAATGACTTGGCAATGCTTATTATATTCATTGACAGCAATACCGATATGCTTGTATAAAAACTTTCTAGAGTTCGCTTCTGGAATTGGAACAAATGGTCCACGTTTACCATTTGATAATCCAATCTTAATACCTGTCTTCTCTTGTGTGATAGATCTGACGTCTTCATAGATAATAGTCCAGACAACTTCGAGAGATGTAACTTTAACCAAGACAATATGTTTATAAGTGACAATAACAGCCATTTCTTCACCTGGTAAGACAACATGAGCTAAATAATCATCATTAACCAACTCACCACCACCAGCCATCTTCAACCAAAATTGACCTTGTGCTTCTCTTTCAGAGAATGGTCTTATAATCGCATCATGACTAATATATCTTGGTAAACGAATTTTATCAATCCCTTCTGAATCAAATGCAGTGGTTGTGTTTCTAATACCTTCACTAACGTTATTAGCCAAGTCAAAAACACCAATGGCTGTTTTTGTTGGCAGACCAATAAGACCTTTCCCGATACCTTTGATGAAGCCGCCAGCACCACCTTCATTTGCACCTTGAACAGGAGCTAAGGCTATACCTGAAATACCACTAGAAATACCTTCAACAAAAGATGAAGCACCAGCACTGAAACCGTATAAAGCATGTTTAGGTTTATTTCTTCTTCTTGACATACGACGACGATCTTGGAAATTTTTGTCCATAGTAGCCACTGTTAACCCTTTTGAAATTGAGCCAGTAACTTTAGCAAAACTATCAGAGAAACCAAAAACAGATTTTTTTAAGAAACTCAAACCACCTTTAGCAACACTAATACCAAGCTCTTGAGGACGATCATTCATTACCAAACCTTGATAAGGTTCATAGAAAATATCCATAACACCAGAACTGATATTATTAAACAAACCAACCGGATTACCGATAAAATCAGCCGATCCAAGAACTTTGTGAATTTGATAGAAAAATGCTTGTCCATAATGTGTTTGAATTGATTGAACCAAAACTGGAGTTGGTACACGAATATTTTCAAGGAATAAAGCATTCAATTTGATTGGAGCTTCATTGATATTACCAATAGCCATAGTCAAAACATTGAAAAAGAACATCACTGGATTTTGAGAGGAACTCTTATCTTCAGCGTTAATTCTCTCAGTACGAACAAATGACAAGTTGAGTTGAGTAGGTTGAATATGTAAAGCTTCAAAATAAATATCACTACCCCCTGTACCATTTACCGGCTCTGGTAACACAATAACATTTTCACATAGTTGATCATGTACTTCTTTATTCCATGATGCACCAGGAACTTTAGAAAAATCTAATAGAGCAAACAAGAAATCTTCATCAACTTCAAGTGTCATTTCTTGTAACAATGTAGTAGCATATTTGATATAAGTAACACCATAACTATCATCTTTGACTCTTGAGATTGCACCAGAGAATGCAGGATGATTATTCATCTCCCTTGAAGATTGTGCAACAACAGTAGGATACAAAATGATTGGATAAATACCACCATATAATTGATTATCAATTTGAATCCATTTCATCTTACAACTAGCAGTTTGATATAACTCAGAATCATTGAAATGAAGTTCCACACCACGAACAGTGATATAACATAATTCTTGTTGTCTAGTGTTGATTAATGAAATACCTATACCTTCAAACTTGAATAGTATTCTATTCATGATATCAGAATCTTCAGCTTCTGGTTCAAAATTATCTTTTTGATTCACGGAAAGTGATGAGCTGGTGCGAACATCTCTTAGCTTGTACAAACTGTTAGAAGGTTCATATTTGGAAATCACAAGTGATTGTGTAGGTCCATCTGCGACAACATTCAAATCAACAATTTTACCGGAATTTGTTAATCTCATAGGACGTAAATTACCAATTTCTGCCAACTGAATATATCTTTCTCTTCCTTCGGCTCTGATAATCAATTCTTTCATTATACCACCAGGGTAATCCCACGCGTATGGCATAACACTCTTTGGTGGGATCTTGTAATAAATTGGTTTGAATGGAGTGTGATCATTAGTGACAACCTCATCATTCTCATTCAAGTTTGGATTCTTTTGGTAAAATATGAACTCCTCGTCACTGAAATTACGAATAGAAAACGGCCAACGATTTTTACCATCTTCGATATGAATGAACAAGGAAGAGCCTTCCAATAAAACATCAACTTTCAATAAAACTTGGCCAACATCCTGCTTGTAAACTTTTAAGAAAACTTGACCGATATCTTTAATGCTGAAAGGCGATGACCATTTTGAGCTTCCACCAGGTAAGAGCAATTTTAGCTGCTTATCTTCCATTCTTGGTAAGCGATAAAGTGGTTCCATACTACCAGATTTCAAATGCAAAGAATCAGATGATCCGATATCAACAATTTCAATATCAGTACTGAGGTTATTTTTGATAATATATCTTGGAGATATTGTAACAACTTTTGAGAGCTGATACTTCCCTTCACCTTCTTTGACTTCAATACCAACATTCATTTCTGATTTCTTGTTTGGAAGTTGCATTGTGACTTCACTTGCCCTACCAATGGCTTCAAAACTAACAGGTTTACTCCAGCCAGAATCTGCTAAACCAATTAAAGCACGAGAGCCACGATCTCTCTTTTCTTCAAATGAAAACATTTTAGGAGATGTGTTCTTGATCATTTCTTCATTGGTCTTTACCTTAGATTGCAGTGTGTTGTATTTTTCACGTACAAACAAATCTCTTCCAGTACGATTCAAAACAATATATGGAGAATAAATGACAACCTTAATACCCGCACCTTCATTTCTTGTAGAGCTATAGTGAATGTTCAATTTTAAGTTTTGCCCATCTTCGTTCTTTAATAATAAACGATTTTCTTTTTTAAAATCACTGTTATTTGGTGCATTGATAATTGCAAAATCACTTTTTTCAAATCCACATTCAAGAGGCTTGACACTCAAGAGTAAAAAGTGTTCCAGTTTGACAACATGAACAGGACTTGTATTACCTTTTCTTAATGAGTTCTTCCAATCACGTTTTGCACTTCTATCATAGAGTCTATATGATAAGTCATATGGCAACAAGTTTTCGATTTCAAGTGGTGGTGAAAGAATAATCTTCATATGTGGATATATTCTAGATAACGGTTCACTTCTATCATATTTTGCTTCAACTTGGAAAAAGAAACTAGTACTATCAGTAGGATCAACTGATGGACATCTAATTGAAGCTCCAGATCTTGATAATCTTCTCCAATATATATTGTTCTCTGACCACTCAAATGGAACATTGATATCGGGCTTGACATAAATTGGGGTATCATAAACTTCTTCAATAGGAATGGATCTGGATGACCCTTGTGGGATAGAAAACTCACTTCTACCTCTAATCACAATATTCACTTGAGTATTATTCTCAATAGTTATGGTAGAGCTCAACTTAATAGTCTTGACATTATCTTCTCCTAATGAAATATCAACAGCAAGTCTATTATGGTAATCATTAACTGGTGGTTCCAACATGAAAAGATCTTCACCTTCACTTGTGACATGAATGTTAGTGATAGCACCATAACCTGAATCTAAAAGCTCGACACCAAGAACGCCCTTTTTATTATCAGTAGTTAAATTCTCACGAATGTTTTTCCAATCTTCAAACTCCCATGGAATTACTTCACCGTCTTTGATTTTTGTCAAATTAGGTCTTTCATTACCTGTATCAATCCATACTTGAATGTCAAAACCAGTTTCATTCAAAATCTTGTATGGCTTTTCAGCCCCTCTACCTTTAATGTTTTTGTCAGCTGAAATAGAAGACATAACTTGGGACAACAATGCAATTGAACGAGATGATAAAGTTACTTGTGCTAACTTTCTAGAGACAAAATCCACATAAATCTTAGATTTTGGAGTTTGAGTTCTAGATATATGTGTAGCAATTGGCCATGGTTCTAGTAAAGGTTCCCAAGACGATTTGGCATAATTGAAAATGTTGATAGATGATTCAATACTGGTATCAGCTTCTAAATCAGAGGACCAGTTTTTAGCAGAAACATGGAATGGGTTTACTGACATATCCAAAACAGGCAACTCATGTATATCACCAATTAAAACTAATCTGAAACCTTCAATATCTGCTGACAACTCTTCAGCCCTTATAAGAATTTCAGGTTCATTAACAGATTGACGTCTTGGTTTGACACTCCCGATAGATGTGGCAATACTTGGTGCATATTTGGCCAATTTTTTCTTGAATTCTTTAGTGAACGTAGTGTGTCCATTTTCACCATTTTCATTTTCGTCACCTTCAGCAGCTTGTTCTTCAATATAACCATGTTTCTGAGCAAGGTCCATAGCCTTGTTGAAAATTGAAATAGCCAATCTAATATCTCTCAATGAAACTCTCATAACCAATGGCTCAACTGATGCATGGATAGATGTCAAAAGACTATCCTTGGTACTCCCTCTATTATCAATAGAAATAGTAGAGGAAAAATCATCAATAATTCTTAAACGATCATTTTCATATTGATCCATACGACACAAAAACATACCGACATTGTTAGCACTTGCAGATGAGATATTTTGACTTGATGCAAGTAATTGTTCAATCTTGAAAACAATAGCTTCAGAATTTTTTAGAGTTGGATCAGCAATCAAGATTAAAGATGTATCAACAACATTCACCGTAATACCAAATTTAGAGTTTTGGGAAGCTTTAACCTGGTCGTCATCTTCATTTTCTTGTGTATATTCTGTTTGTGCAGCATTGCTTGGTAATTCTTCATCATCTTCATTTGTAATTTCTTTATGTGTAATGTGTTCTGGTTGACTCAATGCAACATCTGTGAAGTTTTTCAAAGAAAATAAATAATCTAGAGCTAAAATTAATTTTGGACTATTAATATTAACAGCAACAATAGTATTTTTGTCATTAGATGGACCATTTGTAGTGGCAGTAGCTGAGAAATGATATTTATCACTAGCGACTTTTGGAATTATTTCAGGGAATTGGTTATCTTTGATTTCACGAACATCTCTAGCAACGAGCGATTGAACATGAACTTCTGAATCGAAATGGGTATCATATTTTTGTTTGAACTCCACTCCAATATCTTCTAATGAAAAAGTGGAAATAGCAGTTTTATCTAAAGATTCAGCTTCATTGGTGCTATTATGAATTGTCAAAGCAACTCTTGGTAAGTCGAATTTAAAATCAACTTTAATATTTTCAGGAAATTCAGCAGTTAAAACATTGTTATCAGGTTTAGAAATAATTTCGGAATCCGCACCATATGTTGCATCTGGAGCAATAACTTTATTAGCATTCAAAGCTGCATCTTCAATTTCTGATAATGAAGAATCATCAAAAGTGAAAGCAGCTGGGACGGATTTGGATAATGAATACAAATATGATAGTTGAAGTTCAGTCAAATCAGCAATAACTTCACTCATATTACCATCAATAAGCATTTGGACTTTCTCATTGGTCTTCTCATTATACTTGATATCGAAAATAATATCTGTATCTTCCAAGATCTTGAATGATTGTTTAACATTATTTTGATGGAATAATGATGTAATTTTAGTTGATCTCAAACCACAACTGATATTATTTATTGAATCTCCTGAAATATTGATAAATTTATTTGAAGCTGAAAATTCACCCAAATATAAAGTCACATTGTCATATAGACTTTTATTATAATCCACTAATTTAGGGAAAACAATAATTGGTGTTTTAATAGTGATATCAAATAACATGGAATTTTGGTCTTGAATATTTACTTGATTAAAAGCAGTATCTCTTGCAGAATCATAAAGTGATTTCATTTTTTGGAATTTACTCAAGAAATCTAAAATTTTATTCACTGGACCTTCAACAAAGTTAACTCTTAATGAACCAACATTAAATTTAAATGAGCTTGCGTAATCAAGATCTTTTTCAGCATTTGGATCAAATGTTTCATATGTAAATTCAGCCAATTGATTTTCATCGAAACTTAAAATCTTTCTCACAATAGAATCCCTTGAAGAGCCTTCATTAACTTCATCATGAACAGTCAATGCACCTAATTTTGAATACACTTTCATCTTCTCAGGTAACACCAAAACATTAAAATGTGCAGTAGATAATTGTAAAGTAGCAAGTTTGATACCATTATCATTCAAAGCCAAAACAATACCCTCCAAATTAACATTAACTCTAATTTGTTGAGGTGAAGTTTCAATTTGTGAAGCATCATTATGTCTTAAAATATCTGCTGGAGTTTCTTCAGGATTTGGATTTGTAAAAGTTGTCAAGATGAAATTCAAAATTGTTAATAAACTTTTTCTTGTAACTATAACTTTTAAAGCTGATAAATTTAAATCAACATCTTGATCGAAAACTTCAATATTTTGATTATTAACTGTAACGATTCTTTGTGTTCTATCATATTTTAATCTAAATGCCTCACTGGATCTTTCAATTCCATCTTTTTCAGTGAAATTATTTGACGAGATGATTTTCTTGAATTCTTTTGGACCTGAATCTTCAATATAATCTTCAATATTGAATGTTGATAAAGTTAAATCAACATGCATACCAGTTTCCATTTTGTAAAAATCAAGTTCAAATCTTTCAGCAACTAAATCAACAATAGGATCTGAAGCCATTGTTGAGCCATCAGTACACTTAGATAATAATAATTGAACCTTGTCAACATTAAAATTGAATTCAAATTGATGTTGTTTTTCAATATTTTTAGCTGATTCTGATTTTTGAGACTTAGCTGATTCTGATTCTGTAATATTATCTAAATCAAATTTAGAATCAACAGGTTTATTCAAACTCAATGGACCATGCACTGGTTTCAATTCGTTTTCATCATTCTCTTCATTACCAATATCAAAGTTTGGAATACATTTATCAACTAATTGCATCATAATTTTGTATTGATAATCATTCATTTTAGCAATGAAAGCAGGAAGTTTAGCAGTTGCTCTAATTTTAGCTAAATTAGAAGCTTTTGGTAAAATTGACATTTCCAATAACATTTTCATGTCTAATTTATCTAAAATTGTTGAAGAATTATTATGTGGATCATGAAGTTGTTCCACTGTTGATTTTATAGTGGAACCAATCAGAACTTGAGTATCTTGTAAATGTAAGTTAAATTTGTCATACATCAATCTATTCAATTCAGTTATATCAATTTTTTCATATTCTTCTTGTGATAAGTTCTTTATATTATTTGTCTTATCCTTGTCAGCAAGATCACTTACTAAACTTATATGACCAGCATCAACAACTGCACATGGTGACGACCAAGAATTTGCATCCAATGGTAATATAATTAACGGTGCTTGTAAATCCAATTTAGCATTGATGGTTTTATGTTCTTCCCAAATAGCTTCTAGGCCCATTCTTGTTTGAGAAGTTATACCTTCCATTGTTGCTTCAGCTGCATTTAAAATTGCATTAATAGTATCTAAATGATCTTTTGGTGGAGTGAAAAATTTAATAATCTCATTAATAAAATGAACATGATAAAAAATTGTCATACTCTTCAATTTAGCTAATAAAGCAGAATCAGCAGATCCATCTAATGGATTTTTTTCAAATGAAACTTGGAAAAATGGTTCATCATTATTTTGATTAGTTTCTAATTCAGTATTTAATGGTTTAACACTAACAACATGTTTATATAAAGTTGATTCAGTACCATCTTCAACTTTTAATTCTTGTAATGAAAAATTTGTTAAAAATGAATCAGGTCTTTGATAAACTTGAGCTGAACAACCTTCAAATATAACTTCAGCTAAATTTTTCTTGGATTGTCTATTTTTAATTGTAAATCCACCTTTTTTCAAATTTGCAGATAATTGGAAATTTATACGATCTCTTGGAATATTCACAGCTTCTTCTAGTGCTTTATTTTCATCAAATTCAATAGCATTGTAAAGCTCCTCTCTTTGTTCATCTGTAAGAACTAATTTATCTTCATTTGATGAATCATTTGTATCTGCAGGTTTAGACCACCATGATGAGAACCAACCACCAGAAGCTGGTTGTTGCTGTTGTTGTGAAGTATTATCAACAGCTTGTTCATTTTCAGATGAACTTGGAGCAGATTCAGCATTTGCAATTCTTTCTTTTCTTAATTCCTTTTTAGCCAAAGATCTGAAAAATTTTATATCTTCAAAAGTTAATTCTTTATGTAAATTTTCTAGTTCTTCATTTTGTGATTGTTTTGGTAAAGGTTGTGCTATATCACATAATAATAATTTTTCTTTCCATAATTTAATATAGGCAATTCTATTTTCACGTCTTTTGGATAAAAATTCCCAACTCCAAGCATAATTTTTTTCATGAATTTCATTTAAAACACATTTTGCAGCATATTTAAACCATTCTTTAGAATTACCTTTTAATGGGACATTCGGTCTAAATTTCTTAAATTTATGAGTTTTATTAAACCAATGGAATTTTGAAGCAGTTAAAAGAGCATCTCTATATTGATTTGAATCTAAATCAACACCAAATTCCTCGAAAAACAATTCGGTTTTAAGATGTGGTTGAGTTTCAGTTGTTCCAAGTTTATTAACAGTTAAATGACCAGATCCACTAACAGGTCTAAGTAAAAATTGAGTAAATTCTTCATATTGAGATAAATTATCTTGATCAATAATGGAATTTTTGAATTTTTCAAATAATTCATTTTGATTTTCAGTATAAATAGATTTTGCATCAGTATTCCAATAACAACATAAAGATTTTAAAGTTAATAATTTATGTGTTAATTGTTGAGATACGGAAATAAATGTATGTTTCCAATTTGAATCAGTTGAAATAGCAGAAAGTTCATCTAAAGTGACACCAATGGCATAAGGATTATCAGTAAAAACATTATCAACATCTTCATATCTTAGATGAATGTTTTTAATTTGAACTTGTAAATTATCCACAATTTTAGTTACTAAACTTTCAGTGAAACTTTCATTTTTAGCATTTTCCTCTGGTGATAATGAATTTGTTGGATTTGCTTTATTTATTAATTCTAAATCGTTTAATCTTTGTAATTTCAAATTCAATTCTCTTTTTAGAACTTCCTCTTCATTATATTCATCTTGAATTATAGGGGAAGCTAATAAATAAACATCTTCAATTGTGACTTTAACAGGTTTCCCTTTCAAATTGGACCATGGTATTTGTAAAGTCAATTCACCTAAATGACCAAACTTAACATCAACAGGTAATTCTAGTTTATCTAAAGATTCTTTCTTCAATCTTAAATTCTTTAATTTGACATCACCACTCCAAATACCTATATTCAATTGTTTAGGATCGAAATTTTCCACATAGTTCCCCTTTAACAAATGTTAGTCTACTATCTTGTTTCAATCTTGAACAAATACTCACCAATACCCTGTTCAAAAGTCCCGCCACTAGGGATTCAAGCATTCTAACAACTATGTATTATTGACTTTAGCCGCTAAGAAGAGCTAAGAAGAACAGTGCCAAAAAAACAAAGCAATAAAAGCAGAATTCTCTTTAAAAGTATTTAGTGTTCCAGGTCAATGCAATGGATTCAGTTGTGTAATTCTCTGTATAGCACTAGACCAGTTTGCTACTCTTTCTCTTTGTTTTCTTTGTAGCTGTGTAGCCAATTGATCCTGAATTGATCTGGTTGATTGTAGCAGAGATTCAAATCTATTTTTTTTATTGTTGCTTCAAGCGAATTGCTACGAAGAGGAACTAGAATTAGGCAGGGAATCAAGAGATTAGACAGAGGTTACGCAATGGGGAAACCATAGTTAGACAGAGATTAGACAGAACAATAGGCAGGATAATAGGCAGAATCTGTTCAGCAATTAGATTGAAATCAGAATTCAATTCATATCTCTTCTTTATAGATTCCCACTTTCCTGTCTAAATCTCAACGGTAAAGCCACGCTCAAAGTCATTTATCAATTTAGTGGAGCACCATTTGTACTTGAACTTCTACTTTTGATTAAAATTACATTCAATTGAACAATTGAACACTCCTTCAAATCATGTCCCATTATATTAAAAGAGTTACATTCTCTACGTTGGCTTTTGCCACTGGATTTACAGCTTTCGCTCGTGTTTGGCCTGAAAACTCAAAAGAATTAAACACAAGAAGAATAACTGAACAAAAAGCTGAAATCTTGGAATCAATTAAAAAATCACCAAATTATATTCAACTATTACGCAATGAAGATTATACTGGTGATGTACATTCATCAAGAATACCAAGATTACATCAATCAAATCATGTTTCTCAAGGTTTATTATTTGGTCCTCAACATTTAGAAATTGATCCATTAGTTTTCACAAATGAAAAAGATAAAGAATTACAAGCTTATTATCATTTAGGGGAAAGATTAACAAGTTATGATGGTAATATTCATAATGGTGTTATCTCTACGATATTAGATGAATTACTTTGCTTTTGTGGATTCCCAGAATTACCAAGTAAAAGAGGTGTTACTGCAAAATTATCAATTGATTTTAATCAACATGTTCAACCAAATACAACTGTATTATTAAAAGCCAAAGTTAAAGAAGTAAAAGGAAGAAAAGTCATTATTGGTGGTCATATTGAAACTTTGGATCCAAATCCAATCATTATTGCAAATGCTAATTGTGTCTTGGTTGAACCAAAATGGTTTAAATATTTTAAATGGGCAAGTTTATTTTAGTATAAAGACATAGCTACATATTTATATATATTCAATGATACACAAAAAAGGGAAAATATGCTATAAAATGTAGTTAAATTCATTAATCAATTGAAATAAAAAGAAAATCGCCCGGAAAATTGGCAAAAAAAGAAACTTGCTTTCACTCAGAGTCGAACTGAGGATCGCTACATTACTAGTGTAGCGCCTTACCAACTTGGCCATAAAAGCTTGTTCTTGTGTTATT